CAAAATAAAGGCCACATTTCTGGCTCCCTCACTGCAAGGCAGGCTGAAACGAGTTCTGATCTGCAAGTGATACAGGCAACTTCCAGGTCACCCCTAAAAGAAGACAGCTGCGCCCTCTCCTCTCCCCCATTTTGCTGGTGGGGATGTGGAGGTGATGGCTGGAAGTGGGCAGTCACTCTGTGCCATGGCAGATCAACAAGACAAAAAAAGAACGGGCACCAGAGGCTGCTCCCCCAGGGCACCCGCCTGGACTGTTCATTTGGACTTGCGCGTGAGAGGAAAACCCACATCCTTCACAGCAACGGAAGCTGGATTCAAGCTAAACCGAGGGGCTCGGAGGCGGGGCCCTGGGAAAGGCCAGCCCGGGCCCCTGCCTGTCCCTCCCACACTCACTCAGCTCGTTCTCAATCTCCACGGTCAGGTTGTTGGCGTCCACGATGACCCGGTATTCGGGAGCTGCCTCCACCGGTCCCATCACTGTGAGGATGAGAAACAGCCTGGTGGGCTGCCCCATGCTTGAGGCTCTGCACACGCAGCCCCCTTTCCCTGGACACATGCCCCCAGCCATTGGCCTGGCGTGTGCATTCAGGCGTCAACACCCAATCCAGGTATCAGATCTTCCCTGACCCCTGAGGCAGGGTCAGCTGGCCCTCCCGTGGCTCCAGAGTGTCCCCAGCCCCAGCAGGCACTACCCACCAGTAGCTGTCTAGGACCTGGCCTGTCGGACCTCGGCGGGCCCCTCTGGGTGCCCAGCACCCATGTGCCTGACCCTGAGCTGCCTCAGGAAGACCTTACAGAGAGGAAAGAGTGAGTCTCCCTGAAACTCTGCTCTGACACGACCACCCCTTTGCCCGACAGCCTCCGCGGCTCCCCGCGGCCACCGAATTCCAGAGAGCCCCGCCCTGACAGGGAGAATTGGGGTGCAACAGGATCGCCCTCGGAGAGCTGGTCTGGATGGCCCAGCGCTCCCCAAAGCTGGGAGCGAGAAGGGGTTTTACGCGACACTTTAGTCTTGTGTACATTTGTGGTTATGTCCTATTTACCAAAATAGACCGGTTTTCTACTCACAGTAGCAAACTTTTCCTTCCAGTATAAATTTAATGAGAAAAATATGTTGATTTCAAGAAAATGTGAAATAGGGGGTTAAGTGGCTGGGTAAAAAAGGTGAAGGGATTAAGGTGTACAAACTGGTAGTTACAAAATAGTCACAGGGACGTAAAGTGCAGCATAGGGAACAGTCAGTATTACTGCAATAAATAGTGTGGTGGCAGATGGGTGCGGGAAATAGCGGGGGGATCACTTCATAAATTACCCAAATGTCTAATCAATACGTTGTACACCTGACACTAATATAACATCATTATGGTAACTGTAACTGAAGGAAATAAAACAGCAAAATTGGATGCTAAAAAAAAAAAAACACACAATGTGAAATAAAATAGGCACATGGCAAAACCCCTGTAACTGGTCACGTGAACCCACGTAGAAACCTTGATAGCCGTCCTAGGCAACTGGTGGGCACTCCGCACGGAGCGAGAGCTTTGGAAGTGTCAGCTTTAAAACGCAGTGTCTTTTTAGGAGGCAAGGGGCCTGGGATGGGACGGAAGAAAAGACGACGCCTCTGCAAAAGGCTGAGAGTGAGACAGACCCAACTTTCAAAACCACAAGCAGCAAAAGGGGCCCAGGGGCCTTCAGGAGACCAGGCAGGGGGGTGAGGCAGAGCGGGCGGAGAAGCTACCTTCTGAAGCCTTGGCTTGCTTGCTGATATACTCCTCAATCTTCATCATGATCTCGGCAAACTGGGGAGGAGAGGCGAGTCAGAGCCCAGGACGGCTGGGGAAGAGCCGCGCGCACCCCGCCCCTCCGGCACCCCCATTTCCAGCCTGCCCACCATCTTGCTGTCCCACAGCTTGGCGATGCTCTTGACCGAATCCCCGGAAAGATCCAACTGTGTCTCCTCCTGCACATCCTCGATCGCCGGCTCCTCTTCTTCCTCCCCATAGCTTCCTCCTTCCTCCTCTTCCGCCGCCTCCTCGAGGTCGGCCAGGAGCTCGTCTGCCAGAGACATTCCGAGGCCTGTCGGGGCTGGAGAGCAGGGTTCCCCCTCATTACCAGGAGGGGCTTCCCCCACAGAAGGCCCTGGTCCGTCCTCGTCAATCCCACTAGCACACAGCCTCCGCAAGGACAGGCCTTCTCATTTGCGTTGTTCTCCCTCTCTCAACTGTGCCTAGCGTGTAGTAAGTGCTCAATAAACACCTACCGAATGAAGCCATGAACAAGCCTTCTGGGACCCAGATAACCTCCAGCCACAACTCACACCACCTACCCTCTCACTCACTTCACTGATGGCCCACATGCTACCCCCTTGCTAAGGCTTAATTAAAAGATACATCCTTCCCATGATAAGATGCAATCGCTCTCTCTCTCTCTTTTTCTCTTTTTTGCCTACAACAGAGCTCCCCGCCAATTGTTGGGCCCCATTGTGGTGACAGATTTCCTAAAATATTGATCTGCTCAGCCTCCAGGGCAACCAGACAGTCCTCCTCCGTCCAGGATGCCCAGGCTGATCACCTCTGGCCACAGGCGGCCTCCTCAACGACCCCAGGTGCTGTACAAATATTAGCATTTTCTGTGAGTCCCATGAAGAGGAAAAGGCTGAGCAGCACTGCTTACTCGACAAGGTATGACCCCCACCACTCTGTCCCTCCACTGCTTTTGCTTTTCCCTCATCCGATGATATGTTTTTATTGATTTTAGAGAGCGAGGAAGGCGAGGAGAAGGGAGAGAGATGTGAAAGAGAAACACTGATCAGTTGTCTCCCATACGTGCCCCAGCCAGGGATCAAACCCACAACCCAGGAACATGCCCTGACCAGGGACTGAACCCACAATTTTTGGTGCACAGGATGACACACCAACCAGTTGAGCCACTTGGCTAAGGCTGCTTTTTTTCTCTTCTTCTTTTTTTAATAAGCAATCTTTCCCTCTTCCTGTCCCTTTCCTCTCTCCATAAATCCATTCCCCTTCCTCATTCGCTCCGCTTCACACCACCCTCCTCTAACATGAAAACAGTAGCTGCAAACTCCAACGCTCAGAGGCTAAGTGGGTGTCCAGTGAGTGGGGCAACCTGGGGGTTGAGCGATAGGGACGCGTGGGGCCTGTAGAACCAGAGACCTCATGCCTGATGGACAGGCACAGCTGATGCTCAGCTTCAGACACACCAGTGGCAACACGGGCTCTGTGTTGCCAGGTTTTCTAATTTTTTTTCAAGAGAAGCAAGAAATTCAAAAATTTTATGTGGAATCTCCCAGTCTGAAACGTTTTTTATTATTTAAATAGATAACTTAGGTAAAAACAATAAAATATAGAAAACCACCACCACCATGGCACACACAGGCCACACTAAACAGACTGAGGTGGCCCTTGAGCTGCTGGTTTAAGACCTCAGGATGTGCAGATGTGTCTGTGAGATCAGTCTCTCCTCTTATATCCTCTCCACGACATACTGTGTTCCTTTTATACTCACTTCTCTTTATAAGACACCGCGTTTCCTCCTAAATGCTAAATGCCCCTTTATAACCTCACACATGCCTTTCTCCAGAGCTCCCCTCACTCACTTTTTGTAAGAGGAAATCTTCCTTTCTGTGTAGAATGCAACCCCCTCCCCCTATACCTCAAGTGCCCCTTCATATCCTCTTTCCTCTGTTCCCAGGGGGGCGGGGGGAACCGTAAGCAAACCTAGGGACCATGCCAGTCTGCTCACTGCTCTATCCCCACCATCGAGCACTGAGTAGGCATTCAAGAAATATTTGGTAAATGAAGCCCTGGCTACTGTGGCCCAGTGGATTGAGTCCCTGCCTGTGAACGAAAGGGTGGCTGGTTCAATTCCCAGTCACGGCACATGCCTGGGTTGTGGGCCGGGTCCCCCAGTGGGGGACGTGTGAGAGGCAACCACTCATTGATGTTTCTCTCTCTCCCTTCCCCTCTCTCTAAAAATAAATAAATAAAATCTTTTAAAAAAGGAAATATTTGGTAAATGAATAAACAATTTTATTTAATACTTATACCAACCACATTATGGTCTGTTTTCTCCAGGTCTCTGACTGTATTATTTTTGTGTTCCTCTGATAGGGTCATAAATATTATGTCTTGCGACGTGGCTCTTCTGTGACCCCCTCCACCCGACTAGATCCCATCCCGCTGTTATACATCTATGAGCTCCTCAGTTTGTCTCAACACTTAAGAGTCTCTAAATTTCTATCTTTCTGTTTAATGCCCACCTTCTCCATTGAGCTAACGACAGGGGCCTCCCTGACAATAGGGGCCGTTTTATTCATTGTTCACTAGCCTCAGTGCCCTGTGCAGCACCTGCCACGGAGTAGGTACAACAAGGACGTCGTTTGATTCCAGCCAACCTCCACCACCATCTCCCTTGCCCACGAGTCCTCGTCACATTTCCTCAGCTTACCAACCTCTTCCCCTCACTTTTTAAGGACTCAGTCCCCTCCTCAGCCTCCAGTTCTCATCTTATATTTCAGTTCTCTGACCCACGCACCCCACTCTTGGTGACACGGCCCGCATGCCCTGCGGGTGCCCTGTGGGGCCTCCCACATATGGGATTAAGTCATTACTCGACAATCAGTCTTCCCAAGTAAAGCGTTCTAAGAGGCAGGGGACATTTTGGCTCCTGCCATACTCCCCACCCCGGAGTCCTAACGGTGTGGGAGCACATGAGACTTTTGGATGGTCAATCTAGTAAGACCGCCTTTGTCCTCGCTCCGGTCCAACCCTCAGACAGAGGAATCCAGTCTCCCACCCTCGCCTCGGCCACATCACACTCACCACCTCCCTCCTCGCACCTCCGTTTCCACGAACGTAGCTTCCAACCGCGGTCGGCGCTTACTTATGACGTCTCGCCCTCGCGCCTCGGCCGAGGCAAAGCTACGCTCTGATTGGTCCCCGCCCCGCTCTGACCGTGTTTGGAACAAAAACTTTATTAGCACCAGCCGCTAGGCGGAGAAGGGGTGAGCACGACGCGAGGCGAGGCGAGGGATTTTGCCGGCTCCCGGCCCTCCGAGGACTGAGCCTCCTAAGTGGAGAGTCGCCGTGGTCGGACGACACGGTGTGAAGACAATAAAGACGGAGACAGAGCAGACGACTGGTGGCGGGGTTAGACGAGAAAGCAAGGCCTTGCCGCAGGGACTCGGGGTCGGGGAGGGGCGGGGGCGCGTAGGGAGGAAAGCCGGAAATAGGGAACTACCACTCCCAGGAGGCCTAGCGGCTGAGTCCCGGAAGCTTGGCTGTGAAGCCTGATGGGGCGGGTAGTTTTGCGAACTTTTTAACCTAAAGGTTTGAGAGGTTGGAAGTTCTGAGTCCTCGGGCGGCGACAGCGAGGGCGAGATGGAGCTGGAGCAGAGAGAAGGGTAAGTGGCTTGAAGGAAAATTGCCAATCCCAAAAGACACTGCGCTTGCAAAATGTGCAACTGTCCGCGCTTTACTCTGAGGGCTGATGGGGATTGTAGTTCGTGCAACGGCTTTGGGTTAGGGACTGGGGTCTGTACTTGGTGAGCATCCTCGGGGAGGAGGCTAGGGTTCTAGAGGTTGGAGACCTGGACTCCTGGATCTCAGTGAGGGATTCGGGCTTCGAACTTCCTTGGATCCTCAGAAGGAAGACTCAGGGATCTAAACTCCCAGATCCTGGGAGGAGGTGGTCGGGACTTGAACTATGGATCCTGCAAAGGGAGGCCTGGGGGCCTGGCCTCTCGGGTTGTAGGCAGGAGGGGCCGGGCGCCAGAGGTTCAAGGTCCCTGAGACTCCTGATTCTACAGGACCATGGCAGCAGTGGGCTTCGAAGAGTTCTCAGCGCCGCCAGGCTCGGAGCTGGCGCTGCCTCCGCTGTTTGGTGGTCACATCCTGGAGAGCGAGCTTGAGACAGAAGTAGAGTTCGTATCTGGGGGTCTGGGCAACTCGAGCCTTCGTGAGAGAGATGAAGAGGAAGAGGCAGCCCGGGGCCAGCAACGGCGCCAGCGGGAACTCAATCGCAGGAAGTACCAGGCGCTAGGTCGGCGTTGCCGGGAGATCGAGCAGGTAGGTGAGTGCGGATTCCGTGTCGGGGTCCCCTGGCCTAAGTTATCACCCCTTTCCAGGTACTGTCCACATGCACAGCCTTCCTTGCCCAGCAGGATAAATTTTTCATTCATTATTCATTGATTGCGCACCTGTTATGCATCTGGCACTGTGTAAGGTACCCGGAGTGCTGTCTCCTCTAGGAGCTTCCCTGGCAGCCCAGACCAGCTCGCTGATGTCTCGCCGGTGCCTCTCCTGCCCCCCACCGATCACAGGTCGAAGCTCAAGCTCTTCAGGTCTCTCATACCCCTGGCATCAGTCGCCCTTCACTCCTATCTATTCTATCATTGAATCTGTCTGGGTCCTTTCCCCTTCACCCTCATGGCCCCTTCCCCAGGCTCAGGTTCTCGCCACTGAATCGCTGCATTAGCTCTGGAGTGAAAATGGGAATGAAGCAGTGGGCAGGCCCACAAACACACTAACATCAGGGCATGAGATTTGGATTTTTTTTTTTTTTTTACAGTGGGGGTGGCTAGTGAAAAGTTTCAGATGGGGGAGAGACAGTGGCTGGCTGTTGGAAAGACTGAATTTGGTTGTGTGTGTTTGCTGTAACCGAGCATCACAAAGTGGCTGACTACGTAGCAGAAATGTACTGCCTCTCGGTTCTGGAGGCTGGAAGTCATCAGGGTCGGTCCCCCGAGGCTGTGAGGGAGAGCTGCTCCGCACCTTGCTCCTGGGGTCCCGTGGTCCACTGGGCGTCTTTGGGGTCCCCAGGCTTGCAGCTCTCTGGCTTCATTTTCCTGTGGCATTCTTCCTGCACGTGCAGCCTGTGCCCCACGTACCCCTTTTTATACGGATGCCAGTTATTGGATTGGGGTCCACCATAACGACCTCATTTAATTCAGGAGAAGAGCACGTCTGAGGCCCCCTGCAGGACAGGAGGAGGATGTGCAGGGGGTTGCGGCAGTAGCGTGGAGGCCAGCGTGAGGGGAGGGGAGGAAAGGGACAAGGGAGAGGAGCAGGGACGGCATGAATAGATGAAGGAGCAGGCGCAGGAAGTGCAGCCCCTTAGGGACCAAAGACTACCGTTGAGCCCTCTCCTTGGTCCGCAGAAGGGGCTCCACTCACCCTCGTGGAATGGGGGCCAGCTGACCTGTGCACTCCCACTTCCCCGCAGGTGAACGAGCGGGTCCTGAACAGGCTCCATCAGGTACAGAGGATAACGCGGAGGCTCCAGCAGGAGCGGAGGTAATCCCTTTGCAGGCCTGCTCTGGCCAGCGTGCCTCTGCCCCCAAACCTCATTTCCACATGCTTCTCCTCATTTCTTCACCTTTCCTGCCTGCCTAGCTGGCCATCTGGGGCCAGGAGGAGGCGAGGGAGAGGGAGGGGGTAGGGCCTGAGGACCAGGAGTGGGATTGGGTCTTGCAGGGAAGAGCTGGCTGGGCCTGGGGGGAGCGCGTGTACGCCCTCTGAGTGGTGGCTGCAGCGAACAAAGGGGCCGTGGCCCTAACAGACCCAGACACAGATTCAAGCACTGTGTTGCCATGGGACTCTGAGCAAGCAACACATCCTCTCAGAGCCCCCGTTTTTTGACAACTAAGGGTGACGCAAAAGTCACGCCAAAGCCACGAGGCTGCTGAGGAGTAAACAGGCGCTCACAGGATGAGCTCAACTCAGAGCCTCCCGCCTTGGGTCACCATGATCAGGACGGGTGTGAACTCGGAGGCCAACCTGCTGCTCTCTGTCTCCCCTGGGGACAATGGGGAGAATGTGCCTTATGCTGAAGGGTTTCATGGCGAGTAATCAAACCAGAGACAGAAAGGAGAATGGTGGTTGCTGGGGGCAGCGGACTGGGAAGCTCTTGTTTAACTCTGGACAGAGTTTCACTTCGGAAAGATGGAGCTCTGGAGACGGACCGTGCTGTCGGTTGCACAGCAGTGCGAATGTTACCTAATGCCACTGCACTGTACCCTTAAAAATGGGTAAATCAGTAAATTTTATATCTTACAATTTTTTAAAATAAGTCACTTTTTTCCAAGAGCAAAATAATAGAAAAACGTATGACAGGCCAAGTCACTGCTCTGCTCAAAACCCTGCAGGGGACCCACCTGACATCCTTCCCGCAGCCAACCAGGCCGTAATCAGATGGCCCGTCCCAGGGCCTCCCCGGCCACCTCAGGGCCTTCGCACTTGCTGCCCCTACCCACCCCAGACACATTCTTCTGCCACTCGCTCGCCTGCCCACAGAGGCCTCCCCGCCGTCCTTTACAGGTTCCACTCAGGTGCTACCCACCCTCTTCCCTACTTTCTGACCTATTCTGATTTGCTGGCTCACAGGTAGCATTTAGTCAATTAGCGCTTAAACAAACAAACAAACAAACCCCAAGAGCATTTACAAGAAGGTCAGGGAAAGGAGAAGGTAGAGTTGATAAGAGGCGTCGTGCACACTCCTCTCCCTGGACTTTGTTATTAATGAGAATAACTTAGCCTTGAACGTTGGCTGAGCCAGCATCCCACCGAGTGCTCTAGAGACCACATCTGGTTGTGGCCCTCTCACAGCAGCGCCCCCAGTCGGGGTGGTCATCTCCCGAAGACGAAGCAGGAAACTGAGGTGCAGAGGTCACCTCGACGTGCCCGAAGTCCCCCAGAGTGGTCAGGGGCTTGGCACCCAGATGTCTTGGACTCTGGAGCTCCAAACCTTCCAGGTCGAGGACCCTTGGCTGTAGAGGGAGTCGGAGCTGGGCTGTTGGGTGCCCCTTTCCCCGACTGCCAGGAAATGAAGGTGTCCTCTGGCGGCTTCTCTCTGGGCGCAGGTTCCTCATGAGAGTGCTGGACTCCTACGGCGACGACTACCGCGCCAGCCAGTTCACCATCATGCTGGAGGTGAGCGCGGGGTCGCGGGGGCCTGGCTGAGCCGGGGGTCCAGGACAGCCTTCACCTGCCTCCTGTCTCCCCACCAGGATGAGGGCAGCCAGGGCACAGATGCGCCCACCCCAGGCAATGCTGAGAACGAGCCTCCGGAGAAAGAGGGGCTGTCTCCGCCCAGAAGGACGCCGGCACCCCCAGAACCCAGCAGCCCGGCCCCCGGTGAGGGGCCCAGTGGGCGGAAGAGGCGGCGAGCACCCCGGGAAGGACGCCGAGCGGGAGTCCCACTGACTCCAGAACTGGCCCCAGTGCAGGTGGGAGGCCTGGAGCCCCGGGGCCGGGCGAGCAGGGGCCAGAGCTGTGGGCTTCCCAGCTGGCGTCTGGCTGGGAGAACTGGAGAGAGGGCCTGAAGTGGGGTTGGAGGGTTGAGGCTATCGGGGGGAAGGACGAGAGTTGGAAAAAGTCGGGAAGGCTTGGGTGGAAAGGAGGAAGCCCCGGAGGAGGCTGTGGGGAGGAGGAGGAGGAGGAGGGTCTGGAGACTGGACACTGGAGAATCTGGAGACCAAGTGGACCCAGGAACACTGGGGACCTTCTGGGGCGCACAGAGGAAAGCAGGAATGCTGGGGCTGGAGGGCCGCCTCCACACGCCAGGCCGCCTCACACCTCCCTTTCCTCCCCCAGATAAAGGTTGAGGAAGACTTTGGCTTCGAAGCGGACGAAGCCCTGGACTCAAGTTGGGTTTCCCGGGGGCCAGACAAACTGCTGCCCTACCCCACCCTAGCCAGTCCCCCCTTTGATTGAACTGCCACCCCCTGCCCCGCCAATAAACTGACCCCACTCTCCCTGGCCACTGTCCGCCCTCCCACCTGTGATCACACTCTCGACTCGGGTCAGTTTTCACATTTTTATTGTGGGCCATAGGGGAGGGGGATGTCCTCCCGGTCAGTGGAGGTATTCACAGCTTCTTCAGCCACTCCAGGCTTGGGCCCTGGGGGTCCTGGGGGTGGCTGGGCACGTCAGGCATGTTCCCATCATCTCGGACGGGCACTGGAGGACAGGACGGGGGGCCACTGAGACCAGCAGATCTCCAGGGGCCCCAGAGAAGGCTGGTCTGTCACTTTTATGTACAAAGAGAGCGATACAACACCCACTCACCTGGGTAGTTGTAGGGAGTGACCTGGTTGATCATGGCCGCGTACTTGGTGTAGGGGCTGAATAAAGGCAGGGTTATAGCTGTGGAGAGACAAGGGTGAGGCCCAGGGAAGGCGGCGGGGGCAGAGGCTGAACCTTGGCAAAGGGGAGGCTGAGTGCATGGTGGGGGAGGGGAGCAGGAGGTCCTGCACCTCCAGGAGGCTTCCTCTGCTTTGCAAAGCCCCTTGGCACCCCAGGATCCCATTTATCAGAAAGGTTTATAATCTTTTTTTCTTTTTTTGAGGCAAGCTTGGTAGCCAACACTTAGAAATATGTGGGACCTAGGGGGCACTGAACACACGGGTGGGGAGTGTCTTTGGGAATGTTCTAGGGAAATCATGACCAAATCAAGGAAGAGGGCTTGGACAAGGAGCAGTCTATCTAGGATGGGAGCCAGGAGTCCTGGGGGCGGGGCAGGGCATATAAAGGAATGTTCTAGGCCAGCACTCTTAGAAATACAAGAGCCACACATAGAATTCTACATTTCCTAATGGCCACATTACAGTCAAAACATACCAGTTAATTTTTACAATGTATTTAACCTGGTGTATCCAAAGCATTGTTTCAACATACCATGACAAAAATGGAGCCATTTTATATAATTTGTCACATTAAGTCTTTGAAGTCCAGTATATACTGTACGTTGGGTAGAACACTGAGCATTTCAAGTGCTCCGTGGCCAATGTGGCCTATGGGAGAACTATCTCCTAAGGACCTTACCCAACGACCCGCAGACGGGAAGTGTTGACAAGACCTGGGACTTGTTAGAAATGCAGTAAGCCCTATTGAATCAGAGCCTGCATTTTAACAGCAGCCCCCCCACCCCCCGCACACACCAAGTGACCCCAATGCACATTTAAGTATGAGTAACCCTGTCCTAGAGCAGAGACTCTCAATCATGTCGCATATTAATTACTGGGGAGATTGTGATGGCGAAAGTGGGAAGGATTCGGACATTTATCATTGTTATTTATCGCTTAAGTGTTTTTAATGTACAGCCAGGGCTGAGTTCCTCTCCTAGAGGGGCACTATGAACCACCTGGGGTGGGGAGGAAAGGGGTTGGTGAAGGGGTCATAATATTAGGGCTGGGGGTAAGCCTGGGGACATCGTGGGGGTGTTGACACAGAACGTAGGGGTCGGTCAGGGGGCCTTCGGGGTAAAGAGGAACGCCAGTGGGGGTAGACGGGACCTTTGCGGCGGGTGGGGAAGGTAAAGCTGGGACACCGACTGGGCTAATATGCACGTTCCCGTTCACGCACCGAGGCCGGCGATGGTGAAGGACGCGACCAGCACCGGCTCCTTGGCCCAAGCGTTCTTGATAAAGGAGGCGAATCCTGCGGGGGTGGGCAGGGAGGGTCATTCCTGCAGGATTTGCCCCTGGTGACCTCTAACCCTCTGGCGCCACCCCCTCCCGCAGGAGCCTCCTCGTGACCTCGGCGCCCCCCTCCACAGGCCCCAACGCTGCCGCCTCCACGGGGGCATCGCCGCACCCTAGCCCCGCACTGCCCGGTTTCATCCCGCGCCCCGCGCGCCGCTGGCGCCCGAACTTACTCCCGGCCATCTTGGTCTCGGCGGCGGCGGCGGCGGCGGCGGCGGCGGGCCGGCGCCGAGGACGCGGGGCACCCTGGGTATTGTGGTTCCCGCGCCGAGGCTCCGCCGAGTCCGCGCGAGCACTGGAGCAGAATCGCAGTCTCACGCGGAGTCGAAGACGCGAAGCATTCTGGGAATCGTGGTCCCTGCACGCTTACAGCTGACTCTGCGCGTGCGCACTCGCGCAGAACCGAAGCCCTTGGAAGTGGCAGGCCAAAAGGCAGCGTTCCTGGTTTCAGGGCAAGCGTGCCGCCCTGTGCTCTCTCAGCCTAGAAATCGCTCTAGAGGAGTAATTTCTACTGCCTAGTCCTCCTGCTGCAACTCAGTTAAGGCGGAATGCAATAGTCTTCATTTCATAGTTTACCTATGAAAGCCTATTTTACAGATGGGGAAACGGAAGCTGGGAGAGTACGAATGGCTCAGCTATTATTTGAGGTCTCCTCTCGACATTAGCTCGTCCCGAAGCCCTGACTCTCATCGCAGAAGGGTTACGGGCCTTCTGTGGGTTCTCGCAGTGCCCAATGGGACCTGCATTATAGCGCACATGACTTATTTTTAAAACTGACTTGGTCCGCATACGTCCTTCCACCAGACTGGGAGCTGCTGGAGGGCAGTAGTGAGACCCGACTCCTCTCTGTGCCCCAGAATCGCGCAGCAGGGTCTGGCACATAATAGGTGCTAAGTGTTTTTAAAGTTTAATGAACACAACGGGTTATGACTGCCCCAACTCCAACTTTCCCCACAGCACCATGGGGCTGTGACACAGTCCTCTAGGAGCCCCCGCCTTGCTCCCCTCCCTAAACAGGCTTCTGACTCTTTCTGATGTTGCCTCACTTCCTGAAAGTTGACAGAGCAAGGCTGAGTTCTGGCTCCTGCTCCACCTCCAGCCAGACCTGCCCACCATGGCCCTGGTGCTGATCCTGCAGCTGCTGACCCTCTGTGAGCCACCCCAAGCCCTCTCTTTGGGTCCCTGGCTGGGCTGGGGTGCAGAGATAGCCTCTGCGGACCCAGAAACCTAGAGGGGTGATGCAATCAAGGGACAGGACTGCTGGGTCTCCCTGAGGACAGAGACAGGGTGATTAGGCAGCCTTAGCTAAGCGCTGGGGACTGTAGACTAGAATAACAGGACAAGACAGTGGCCTAGACCCCTGGGTCTTAAAGCAAGAGGACATGAGGGCCCTGAATCCCTGGGGTTCCTGGAATAAGAGGAAGTTGGGGGCAGAGTTCTCCAGCTCTTGAGGCAAGAGAGGGCTAGAGACCTGAACTCTTGGAAACAGGGAGTGTAAATTCCCAGATTCAATGTGGGTGGGGAGACGGAAGCCAGGACACCTGGGTGCCTGGGAGAGGAGGGAGCTGGGGCCCAGACTCCTGAACCCAGGGAGGAGAAAGTGTGGGCTCCAATTACTGTCTCCTGGAAAAGGTGGAGTCCAAAGGCCTGAACTCTAGGGTACAGAGACGACAGGGTCCTGGGTCCAGACTTTTGGCTCCTTAAGTAGGTGGGGATTGGAAGTCTGGATTGATGGCTACCAGGACAGGAGGAAGTGTGGCCAAGATTCCTGTTTCCTGGAGAAAAGAGGGGCTGGGGACGTAGAATCCTGGGGTTTCCAATGACATGGGATTGGGAGCAGCCTACGGCTTTGACAAGATCAAGCCCCTTCAACCTTCTGCAGGGCCCCTGTGTCACACAGACGTCACTTGGACAAGTGAGTACATTCCCCATCTATTCCCCTGTATGTTGCTGACATCCCTTTTCCAACACTCAGATTTTAGTTTTGATGCCCCATCGCCCCAGATCTCCCTATTTCCCTCTCCTCCTCCTTTACTTCTTTCCTTCCATTCTCACTCCCTTTAGTGACCAGTATAGCTGAGTAATGAAGACCATAAACTTTGGAGCCAAAGAGACCTAAGCAGGAACCCCACTTTCACTGTCTTCTTCACTTACGACCTTGAACAAGCCACTGCATGCTAAGATTCAGTTTCCTTCTCTGTGAAATGGGCTCTTGTGAGGATTTAGTAAAATCACACGTATAATTCTGGGCTCCGAATTTGGCAAAGCACAGAGCTCAAGAGATAGGAAATCTGGCAATGCTGATCCCCCCCCCCCATTTGGAAAGGAGGACCCCCATCCTGAAATGGCCCTGGTTTTTTTTCCATATTTGTTGATAGTGAGATCACTTCTTTCTCCCAAACCTCCTGCTCTCCCCCACTACACTCCAAATTCAAATAAGAACCACCTAGAGAACAATTAATACCTAAGTTATCAATTTGTTTTAGATTACTATGTTTAAGTGATAAAGCTAATATCTATTCATGGTTTTAAAAATTCAATCATGACTGAAGGACATATAACAGCCTCTCTCTTCCCATTCCTCATATCTTCCTTAACTTTTCTGAATCCCTACAAAAAATTTCCAAGCATTCAAACACATATATGTATTTATGTACTTCCTATTTTCCATGCCAAGGCAAAACCGCTATTTTGTGACTCACACTGTTCTGCATCTTATATTTTCCACTTTACAATCTCTCTTGGAGATATTTCCATGTCATTTAGCTAGCTCTACCTTTTTTTCTTTTAAATTGCTGTCTGGCATTTGCCATTGTATGGCCAGAATCTAAATTTATTTGGCCCTCTTGTTGTATATTTAGGTTGTTTCCAACCTCCCTCCTCACAACCAGAGCTGGAGTGAGTGCTCCTGTATGAATTTTTTTTTTTTTTAAGAAAAAGACTGTTTATTTATCTTCAGAGAGAGTGGAAAGGAAGGAGACAGAGGAAGAGAAACATCGATGTGTGAGAGAAACATAGATTAGTTGCCTCTCACACATCGCTAACTGGGAACCTGGCCTGCAACCCAGGCACGTGCCCTGACTGGGAATCGAACTGGGGACCTTTTGGTTTGCAGGCTGATGCTCAATCCACTGAGTGACACCAGTCAGGGCTGAACTTTTTGTGCACATGTATGTACATTTATCTTGATGCAGCCATGGAATTATTGGGTTGTTGGCTGCGCTCTTTGTGTATCTTTTCTTTTGTCATATAATTTATTTTTTCATATATATTGTAATATATATTTTATTGATTATGCTATTACAATTGCCCCATTTTTTCTCCCCTTTATTCCCTCCCACTCTGCACCATCCCTCCCCACAGCATTTCCTCCCCGACCTTAGTTCATGTCCATGGGTCATACATATAAGTTCTTTGGCTCCTCCATTTCCTATGTGATTCTTAATCTCCTCCTGCCTATTTTCTACCTACTATTTATGCTGCTTATTCCCTGTACCTTTTCCCCCCTTCTTCCCCTCCCCCTCCCGTCTGATCTCCCTTTCTATGATTCTGTTCCTGTTCTAGTTGTTTGCTTAGTTTTGTTTTTTAGGTTCAGTTGTTGATAGTTGTGAGTTTGTTGTCATTTTACTGTTCATAGTTTTTTATCTTTTTCTTCTTAGATAAGTCCCTTTAATATTTCATATAATAAGGGCTTGGTGATGGTGAACTCCTTTAACTTGACGTTATCTGGGAAGCACTTTATCTGGCCTTCCATTCTAAATGATAGCTTTGCTGGACAGAGTGATCTTGCATGCAGGTACTTGTCATTCATGACTTTGAAAGTTTCCTTCCGGCCCCTTCTTGCCTGCAAGGTTTCTTTTGAGAAATCAGCTGATAGTCTTCTGGGAACTCCTTTGTAGGGAAGTGTCTCCTTTTCTCTTGCTGCTTTTAAGATTCTCTCCTTATCTTTAATTTTAGGTCACTTAATTATGATGTGCCTTTGTGTGTGCTTCCTTGGGTCCAACTTCTTTGGGACTCTGAGCTTCCTGGATCTCCTGGAAGTCTCTTTCCTTTGCCAGACTGGGGAAGTTCTACTTCATTATTTGTTCTGAGTAAGTTTTCAAGTTCCTCTTCTCCTCTGGCACCCTTGTGATTTGAATGTTGGAACATTTAAAGTTGTCCCCAAAGTTCCTAAGCCTTTTTTTTTTTTTTTTGAATTCTTGTTTCCTCATCCTGTTGTGTGTCTATTTCTTCCTTCTGTTCCAAATTGTTGATTTGAGTCCCAGCTTCCTTCCCTTTACTGTTGGTTCCCTGTATATTTTTCTTTACTTTTTCTTCCATTTTGCAACCATACTCAACCGATTCAGTGAGCATCCAGACTACCAGTGTTTTGAACTGTACATCTGATAGGTTGGCTATCTGTTCCTTGCTTAGTTCTGTTTTTGGAGCTTTGATCTGTTCCATCACTGGGGCCTTATTTCTCTGTCTCAGCACAGCACCTGTTATGTTGGGAAGGGCAGAGCCTTAGGTATTGGCCAAGGCAGGGTAATCCAGGTCGCTGCCTTGTGATGCTGTCTGTGGGGGAGGGGTCTGAGAGGGAACAATGCTGCTTGCTCAGCTGGGCTCTTGCCTGGCTTTCAGTCACTTCCCCCACTACCTGCAAGCAAATTGGGCCCTTCTAGTGCTGATTCCCAGGTGGGTGGGTTTGTGTATGTTCTAGGACCCTGTGAGTCTCTCCCATGGACTCTCCTGTGAAGCTGGGAGTTTCTCTTGCTGCTGCAACCCCAAGTTTTTACTTGCAGAGGTTTTGAGGCTTCCTTTTCCCTCACTGCAACCCGGGACTGCGCGGTCAGTCTCACTCCCCAGCTGTTCCTCCCGGTTTATCCACATGCAAATGTAGGACTGCCCAGTCCACCAGCCGCCGCCTTGCCGTGTGCCCTCTCTGCCCCAGCTGCCCATCTCTTCCCCTCTTACCAGTCTCCGCCCCTCCTGCTGATCTGGATGAATGTTTCTTCTTTAGCTCCTTGGTTGTTGGACTTCTATACAGTTTGATTTTCTGGCAGTTCTGGTTATTTTTTGTTTTTAATTTTTTCATTGTCCTTCTTTGGTTGTGTGAAGAGACAAAGTGTATCTACCTATGCCTCCATCTTGGCCGAAAGTCCTGTAAGTTGGTCATATAATTTAAAATAACTTCTTCACGCTCTAATTAATTTTGAACTTTAAGCAGGTAGGAGCTCTCTGAAGCATTTCCCCTTGTGTATCTTGATAGAAACTGACAAACTGCCTTCCTGAAAGGCACACTCAAGTACGGCCTAAGTGTCTGTGCACTCCATCTTCACTCAAAGGAAATATTAACCTTTTAAAAAAATTTTTGACAATCTGATAGTCAAAAATACCTTACTGTTGTTTGAATTTGTCTTAAGTGATTACTATGAAGGTAGAATAAAACTTCGAACCACCCCCAAGTGTGCTTTGGTCAGTTGAACTTCCTTTTCTGTGAACTGCCTGGTCATACGTTCTACCCAAATTTGAACGGGGTTGGCCCTTGGATCTACTTCTAATCTATGTGACTTATGAATAAGTCATTTCAGCCAGTGTTGTCATTTACTTGGTTTTTTTCTCAGACTTGGCTTGAAAATGTTGAAGGGGTCATATGTACTAACCTTGTCCCTTCTGCATTTTCTGTTTATATTGTAAGACAACCTTCTCTATCCCTAAGACAAACATATTTTCTTATATTTTTTTCGAATACAGATGTTGTTTTAAAAAATACATGTAGGTCTTTCATTAATCGGGGACTTCTTTTGGGAAAGGGAGTGAGGCAGAGATCCCATGTTCCTCCCCCAACCTCCAAAACAGATAGCAGAATTTGGCAACTATTAAAATATGTTACAAATCTTGTGGAGAGCAATTTCAAATCACAGACCCCTAGGACCTAGCCCCTTGACATCATGGTTAAAAACCATGTAGGAAAGCTCAGGAGTTGATGCCTTGCTCCTGTGGTTGGCAGCTAGTTTTGACAAAGCGCACTGGGGGTCCAGCTCCTTCCTATTTCAGGAAGAGGGAACTGAGCCTGGGAAGGGGACCATGATTGTTCCAGGTAACTCTTCTCTCATCCCAGCTTCCCCTTCCTGTCCTTAGGTACCCAGGAAGCCCAAGGACCCAGGCCGTCCACTTATTCAATCCCCCCAAACTCATACCGCAAGCTCTGGCTACACAAGCTCAGGCCACCCAGTTATTCAACCTCCTCAGCCTCATACCCCAAGCCATCGCTGGGGGTTCAGCCTGCTGCCGTTGTGACCCCCGGGATCAACGTGACCTTGACGTGCCGGGCGCCACGACCCGCCCAGAGGTTTGCACTCTTCAGGTCTGGAGAGACGGCCCCTGTGCTGTCCCAGGATATGTTCAAGGAGCTGGCAGAATTCTTCCTGGAGGAGGTGACTGAGGCCCAGGGGGGCAGTTATCACTGCTGCTACAGGAATCCACAGTGGGCACCGGGCGACTGGTCCCACCCCAGTGATGCCTTGGAACTGCTGGTGACAGGTGAGGTCCTGGGGGTGGGGGAGGAGACAGGTCACAGGAGTGGGATGAGGAAGGGGCAGGAGGGACAGGGACATGCAGAGACAGGCTTGTACGATCACACGAAGAAAAGAGAGAGAGATTGACAGACAGACGAACGGCCGTGATTCTCAAACAGGGGCATTTGTGCTCTGCTCAGGACAGCGTCCCCCCACCCCAGGCAACAAAGAATCATGAGGATTTATCCAAAATGTCACTGGGGCTGAGGTTGGGAAACCTTGGGAGAGACACACAAAGACAGGGAGAGAAAATCAGGGGACACTGCCTCTGAGATCCGGGGAGGGTGGAACAGGGAGGACAGGATGGAAAACAGAGCCACGGAATTTTAGGCGCGGGCACAGGGGGGACAGGGAGAGCGCCAGCGCGGAGGCGCAGGGCTGCGCCCACCCTGGACCCCGTCCTCCCCCCCTCGCAGACCAGCTGCCGAGCCCGTCGCTGGTGGTGCTGCCCGCGCCGGTGGAGGAGCCCGGCGACACCGTGAGCCTGCGCTGCGCGGGCCACGTGCGGAACATGAGCTTCGTGCTGTACCGCGTGGGCGAGGCGGCGCCGCTGCAGTACCGGGACTCGGCGCAGCCCTGGGCCGACTTCCCGCTGCCCCGCGCGCTCGCCCCAGGCACCTACAGCTGCTACTACCACACGCCCGCAGCGCCCTACGTGCTGTCGCAGCGCAGCGCGGAGCTGGTCATCAGCTCAGACGGTAAGGGGCCGCCAACCCCAGTCTCTCCTCTCTCGGACCCCGGAGTCGCAGCCCCGCGCCCCTGCACCCCTCGCATCGACTTCTCTCAACCTGGAGGGAGTCGGGTGCCCAACTCCCCCTGGAGGGTGGAAGCCGGGAGGGCAGAGCAGAGACCTCGGGTGGGGATGCTGACAGCCCGGCCCGCCTTGCTGGCCCCTCAGGCTCTGGCTCCTTGGACTACACCCGGGGCAACCTCGTCCGCCTGGCGCTGGCCGGCCTAGTCCTCGTCTCCCTGGCCACGCTGGTCATTTTGGACTGGCGCAGCGGGCGCCGGACCCTGAGCTCCAGAGGACTGGATCCAGACGCCTGCGGCTGAGAAGACTTCCCAGGGAGGCAGGGAAGACGCAGGCTGCCCCGGGCGGGCTGCCCTCCCTCCTGGCTGAGCCGCGCTTCCTAAGTATTATAACGACCTTTGTCCCGCGGGGTCCCTTCCTCTGGGTTATTTCTCCTGGACTTTCCCGGATCTGGGGGAAGCCATCTGTGGTTAAGGCTTCCTAGCCAGAAGCCCCGGGTTCGAATCCCAGGGCTGCTGCTCACCCACGTGGGAGATGAGGAAAGTGACCTTCCCCAAGCCTCCTTTGCTTGCGCTGTAGAATGGATGCATTGTTAATTCCCACATCTTAGGATTTTTGTAGGGTTACGTGGACATGACACGCAAAGCATTTCAAACAGTGACTGACCCACAGTAAATGCTCAATAAATGTTAGCTACTGTGTAACATTTTTTTATCAAAGTCTCAGGACCCGAAGGAAGTTCTAGTCTTTTTCTCCATTGTGTGTGCTCCAGTTCACCTTTTAAGCAATTTAGTGATGTCATTCCCTTCATGACATCCCACCTGGTTGCCAGGCAAACCCCTCACCGCCTCTTCAAACCTTCCCCAAAGGTAAACCAAGGCAGACCTAGCAGAGCCCTGGCCACGTGGCTCAGGTAGCTGGCGTGTCCACCAAACGGCTGCCGGTGGATTTCTGGTCACGGCACACAACAAGGTTGCGCGTTCCGTCCGCGGTCACAGTGCGTACCAGAGGCCACCGATGAATGTTTTTCTCTCTTCCTCTCTCTCTCAAATCAATAAAAATATCCTTGCATGAAGATTTTTTTTAAAGATTGGGAATTTTAAAATATGAGTAAACTGTAGAAAACGATGTCGCTTCAGCACTCAGTTCTCTCAGGGGGCGAGAGTAGGGCCTTCATGTGTGAGCTTAAGCAGAGCTGAACGCTGAAGTCAAAGGAGCTGCGTGTACACACCGACTTGATGGAGAGGCGAGGGCAGAGTCTCGGGGTGGAGCTTCCTGCGTTTGTTCTTAGTACCAACGGGGGACCCTGGCAGAGCACATCTGGGGTGGTCCCGGCTGGCACATGTGGATGTGGGTCAAGGGAGAGGAAGGGACCCAGGTTTTGAAGAGGGAACAGACCTGGCTGGGGCTCCCAAGTTTGTACTTCTGCTTGACTCCATCTGTTTCCTCACTCGCTCTTCATTAACTCATTCAACTACTCCTCATGCGTTCATTCTCACGACCAGGTATCCATTCCCCTCTTCGTTAATCAGTGAATCAATGCCTTGATCCACTGACCCATTTACTCATGTATTCAATATCCATCAATTGACCCATGTATTTCTCTATCCAATGTCTCAAAAATAGCAGTTTTCCCAGTGATTAGCACAAGACCAAGTGTTCAATGAACACTTATTGAGTGAACACTTATTGAGTGAACATAGTAGGGATTTCATTTTCTACTGCTGACCACGTGACCAGTCATTTTTGCCAGGCAATTCGCATGTTATTCCAAATCCTTTCTGACAGCCCTGTAAGAGTTTATCTAACCTGGAACATCAGGTTAGAGTTTGTGAGGTTAGATCACTGAGCGTCTCCCCCGCCCCTGCCTCTTCTGCCTAGCCCATGGCTTCCTCTTGAAAAAAAATCCCAACAAAACACCACCACCGCCTCTTCCAGTTTGCTGAATCAAGACTTGCGGATTTTACCGGCATTAGTTTCCTCTCTCACTTTCACTTTTATTTTTCTTCAATTTCAGTTGTCCCCATTTCTCCCCACTACTCTCCCCTGCCCTACCCACGCCCTCCCACATTCAACCCTACCTCCTCCTTGTTGTCTTTGTCCCTGGGTCCTTTATACACGTTGCTTGACTTGCCCCCTCCCCTTCCCTCCCCGTTACCCCCTCCCCCCTCCCCTCTGGTCACTGTCAGTTTGCTCTTTACGTCCCTGTCTCTGACTCCACTTTCATCTTTAAATGAGGAAGAGACAGGGGAATGTTTAACATTAAGAAATTGAGAAGCAATTTACAGTTTTCAAGGCAGTGGTTCCTTTTACTTGTCTCCTGGAAATGCTCAGAGTTCCTAAGATGCCCTAATGAGACTGTGATACAGTTGGCATGGTCTCTGTTTTTTGGGTTGTTTTTTTTTTTAATTTTTAGAATTGACTTGAGGCGGCAGGGAAGAGAGAGAGAAAGAAGCATTGATTTGTTGTTCCAGTTTTTCATCTACTTATTGGTTGCTTCTTGTATGTGCCCTGACTGGGGATTGAACCCACAACCTTGATGTAACAGGATGATGCTCTAACCGACCTACCCAGCCAGGGCCATGGCCTCTGCCTTCTATACCCTCTTGCCTTGCTAACTGTTCGCCCTTCAGGTCTCAGGTTAGATGCTGTTGTCCCTGCAAACGCTTGCCTCACCCACCTGTGCTTCCCTAGTGCTTTATCACACCCTCACTGGGTACTTGGTGCACTGTATCGTGATTCTCTCTCTCCGGGACCAGACCACAAGCGCCTCCCGAAGCACCAGGTTATTTTATCCCTACACCCCCAGGGCCTGGAACATGTCTTAGCAAACCTGCCCTGTGTGACTGCATGAGCTCACCACGCTGAGGGTTACAAAGCAGGCTCCATACTCTTGCCCTTCAATGGTGGCCAGAAGGGCAGTTCACCTGAACCTGTGAATGTTAGACGTGGCAAAGGGATTTCCCAGGCGTGACGAAATCAAGAATCACGCCCTGGCCAGTTGGCTGAGTTGGCTGGAGCATCGTCCCATACACCAAAGGCTTTCAGGTTCGATTTCCAGTGCGGGCATACACCTCGGTTGCACATTCGGTCCCTGGTTGGGGTATGTACAAGAAGCAACCGATTGATGTTTCTCTTCCTCCCTCTCTCTCTCTCAATCAATAAATATATCTTCAGGTGAGGATTGAAAAAAATCATGAGATGGGGAGATTATCCTGGATTTTTTGGGTGGTTCAGTGTAATCACAAGCGTTCTTGTAAGAGCGAGGCACAAAGATCAGAGTTAGAGAAGACAACACGGATGGATCTTGAGACTATCATGCTAAGCAAAATAAGTGAGATGGAAAAAGTCAAGAACTACATGGTTTCACTCATGTGTGGGATATATGACTAAAACTGAAAACAACACAAAAACCAACAATACAAACAAGTGAAAACTCTGACACACAGACAGCAGTGTGGTGGTTACCAGAGGGGAAGGGACACTGGGTGCGGCAGAGAAGGGTGAATGGGGCCACATAGCTGGTGACGGAAAGAAGCTTGACTTTGGGTGATGAGCACACAATGCAACGTACAGGTGATTTATTATACATCTATACACTTGAAACCCATATAACATTATTAACAAATATCACTCCAACAAACTTAGTATTAATTTAAAAATGTGGAAAAGTCCTGGCCAGGTGGCTCACTTGGTGGGAGCACACCAAAAGGTTGCGGGTTCAATTCCTGGTCAGGGCGTGCACTGGAGGCAGATAATCCATCTCCCCCCCACTTCCTCCCTCCCTTCCCCTCATTCTAAAATCAATTAAAAATTAAAATTAGAGAAAGAAAGGTGGAAGCTGAGGTCAGTGTGATGTAGGGTCCCAGGCCAAGGAATACAGGTGGCTCCAGAAGCTGAAAAAGACTAGAAATTGGATTTTCCTCCAGAGCCTCCAAAAGAATCCAGCCTCCCGACCCCTTTGGGACTTCCGAACTCCAGCATGGAAAGATAAAACATTTATGTTGTTTTAGGCCACTTAGTTTGTGACAGCTTGTTACAAACCCAGGCATCCTCACCCTTGGGACTTCCATTTTTGTCCTGTACCTCCTCCCCTCCATGTGCCAAGCACCATGCCACAGGCTGGGGACATTGTGTGGAGTGATAGCGGACAAACACCCCATCTCGTGAAGCTCACAGAGAAGCCATAGCAGCAACCAAATTGCTCCTCACTGTATCGATTAAGGAGCACTCTAAGCTGCTGTAACAAAGACATCCAAGAAAAACTATGTATATAATTTCATTTCTCCCTCACTTAACAGTGTATAGTTGAACAGTTTAGGGTTGCTTATTAACAGGTTTGCTTAAAAAAAATATTTTTTTTCTTTAGAGAGAAAGGGAGGAAGGGGGAGAGAAAAACATTCATTTGTTGTTCTAATTATTCACGCATTCATTGGCTGATTCTTTTGAGTGCTCTGATCAGGGATCAAACCCACAACCTTGGTGTATCAGGACAATGCTCTAACCCACTGAGCTACTGACCCAGGGCTCAACAGCTTTTATTCTATAAAAAAAACACAGCTTTGACATATGTTTCTGAGACACTAGGAAAGGAGGGGGGTGGGGGCGGGAGAGAGAGAGAGAGAGAGCGCTCACACAATATTTTTTAAGAGCAGGACCCAGAATTTGAATCTGTCTTCTGCTCATATCCCATGGGGCAGAACTTAGCCCATGGCCAGGCATAGCAGCAAAAGCGGCTGTGGACATATGGGCTCTAGCGTGTGGCCTTCCAAATATGGGAAGGGGTGTTCTGTTACCTAAAGGAAGAAAGGGAATTTGAATGCCGGGAAACCATCAGCTATGTTCACCACTGCAACAAACCTTCAGTACAATGCTGAATAAAAGTAGTAAAAGCAAACTCTTCTGTTTCTAACTGTGGGGAAATAGCACCCGATCATGCATCATTAAGTATGTTGCCTGATGTAGGTTTTTTGCAGATTTTTAAAATCAGGTTAATACAATTACTTTCTAATCCTAGTTTGCTCAGAATTTTTATTATGCATGGATGTGAGGTTCTGCTAAATATTTTTGCTGCATCTACTGAGATGTTCATAATGTTTGTTAATTTGTGAACTACACTGACATTCTGAAATGTTACTCAACTGTTTTAAATCTTGTTGAATTCAATTTACTAAAACTTTCATTAAAAAGAGAGAGCAAGCCCTGGCTGGTGTGGCTCAGTGGATTGAGCACCAGCTTGCAAACAGAAGAGTTGCTGATTCGATTCCCAGTCAGGGCACATGCCTGGGTTGCAGGCCAGATCCCCAGTAGGGGGAGCGGGAAATGCAACCACACATGGATGTTTCTCTCCCTCTCTTTCTCCCTCCCTTCCCCTTTGTCTAAAAAAATAAATAAAATCTTTTTTTTTAAAAGCGAGAGAGGTTTGATCTAATGAAGGAGATCTCTGATGGCTTAGCTTAAGAAGTGATGTAAGACTTGAAAGTTGAGCGGATGTGAACTAGGTGAAGAGGGGCTGGAAGAGTGTTCTAGGCAGAGGGAACAGCATGGACAAACGTCTTGCAGACAAGGACGGCAAGCGACTGTGCCGAAGGACTGAAAGTTGTGCGCTACTGCCACCTAGTGGCCACATCTTTCCCCCAGATCAGGGCGGAAATTCTGAACTCGCAGCACGTGTGCACTGGGACGATGGTCAGTGTGGCTGAAAAGGTGAGTGTAATGGTGAGAGAAACGTAGGAAGATGGGGCTCAGGCATCGGTCAGTTGCGTTATAATGACGCCTGTGTTGGGCATTTGTTATTCAGAGGGACTCTCTCAAGGAGATTAATCCAAGAAGCATTTTCTGCAAAAGCCTTAGATGAAATTCTCTGCATAGTTTCACATGCCCATTAACTTGCATTAACTATTTATTTGCTCAGCTTTTCTCTAAGCGGCAAATATGGCAATAAAATATCGTGAACACTGTTCTTAAATAAGTCCCATGAAAATAAGTCCCAGGTTTGCTCCCCGATCAGGGTACATATCTAGGTTGAGGGTTCGATCTCGGGTCGGGGCACATACAGGAGACAACCAACCAATATTTCCCTCTCACGTGGATGTTTCTCTCTCTCTGCCTCCCTCCCTCTCTGTCTAAAGTTGATAAACACTCCCTTATTAAAAATGTTAAAAATAATAAACTAAACTGGGTAGAGCGTGCCCGCTTTGCACACCCCACGGAGTCGCACCTGAGAGCCGCCGGGTACAGGTGCGCCTGTGACAGGCAAGCCTTGGGAGTGACTGTGTGTTTCGGCCAGTGCGCCGCACACGCTCCTAAACATGCAACACCTATTTAGTCAGGGGCACTGATCTCTTTTTCCCTTAGATTGTCAAACTGAGAAATGACAACAGCCAACACAACAAGAGCCGTCCAGTGTGAATGCCCCGTCTTGAACCATAGATGTGAAGGTCATATAACAGAGTTGCGTTTTACTGGCTGTGTAGCATAATAAGGTTGCATCTGATTGGTTAATTCTTGGTACCAGAAATCCTTATATACAAGTATAGGAACCTTATTCTTTTTTTTTTAAAGAAGTCACTTCGGAGCAAAAAACGGTAGGTAATTACTATTTTTTGTTGGAAACTGATCAGTTATGTACTTTTTTCAGGTTGGCAAAAAAAATTTTTTTCAGGGTGACGCAGAATTGTGTACTGCAGTTATGAATGCATGAGTGCTGGAGCTCAGTACAGCCAGTACTAATAATGCTGGAGCTTAATACTGTTGGAGCTCAAAACTGCTAGTACTAATACTACTGGAGCTCAATACTGCTAATACTAGTACTGCTGGAGCTCATACTCCTAATAACAACACTATTAGGACTAACTGCTGGAGCTTAATACCACTATTTCTGGAGTTTAATACTGTAGAGCATAGTACTGCTAGTACTGAATACTACAGGAACTTAATACTACTAGTGATAAAAGTTCTGGAACTCAACAGTGCAAGTTAATATTGCTGGAGCTCAATACTGCTCATACTGATTATGGTAGAAATTAATACTGCAGGAACCCAAGACTTCTAGTACTGGAGTAGATTAATAATGAAGATTTTAGTAATGCTAGTACTTAATACTTCTGGTACTAAAGACTGTGGTACTCAGTACTTATTAAGCTTTACAGGCTAGGAAGAAACACACACTTCACAGTTATCCCCCAAAGGTCAAGGGAGCTGAAGTATTTATGCATCAGCTCCTGGCAGATGCTGCCCAATGGCTGCTTCCAGGTCATGAAGTCCTCAGCGTTTCCCCCGATGGGCACAGCAGGGATTTTAGCCACCCCTCCGGTAGACACATATATCCAGAGGCACCAACATCAGACTCTACTCACGTGGACCTGCTCTGCCTTCCCTCCCCACAATCCTAGGGTTAGTGGCTGCAAGGGAAATTTTGTGTTAGCTCTTCAAGAGCGTGGCTGCCATCTCTAGCCATCTCTCCCTGGGGGCCAGAAGTCCTGCTGCTTCTCACAGCTGGATGTTATGTGGGCGCCTTGCCCAGTTCTGGTGCTCTAGGCTGGGGAGCCCGGCTTGGGATTTAGACCCCACGCTTCTCAGGGACAACACCCCCAGCCGCTGAACTCTCTCTCCGGAACTTCATCTGCTGCCCGCAGAGCCCAGCCAGGCCTCTCACGCCTCTGTACTTCCTCCCAGTCCTCATGTGGTTTCTTCCTAAGCCTTCGGTTATGAGGCTTCTCTTGAGCTAGCGCTCCGTTGGTTTTCAGGATGACTGCTGTCTGATTTGGTTGTAGCTCCAGCGGGGTCCTGGGCAGGATGTCAGTGTAGCTGCCACCTGGCCCACTGCCATCTTGGATCCCCGCCCCTACAACTTCTCAACTCGTCCTCATCAGCTCTGTACCCGCTCCCACCCTCCGATGCTCCCGAAGGCGTAACCCAGAATTTGTGCACATCACTGCCACTCACATCCTCTTGACCAGAGAGACCGACTCCGTCAGAGAGAACTGTAGTTGTGCCTCTGATTGTCCTGGGTCCAGCTGAATTCTGTCACCGTGTAGAAGGGGGCAATGGCTGTAAAATTTGATGAGCCATTTCTCACGTATTGTGCATATTTGTGAACATGTCTTCGCTTTGGGCGATGTGAACTCTGGGCTCAGTTCAGTCCCGAGGAAGTGACTTGAGAGGAGTTGCAATCAACAGGCATCATTTCCTGATTGTGACTGGGAGACAGAGCTGCGGGTGTGCCACAGTGGAGATAAAAACGGAACAAAGCCGTCACAGCATATCCTGGAGTCAAGAGAGCATTTTGACGTACCACAAACAGCAAAGTTCAAGGAAGATCCAGAAGAGAGGCTCAGGGGGCCGTGATGATCCTGCCGTCCCTGGCCCTGCTCTGTGTTGGTAAGTACGGGGTAGGGGAGGGGGCCGCGGAGGGTGGTGGCCAGGCAGGCCATGCAGGCAGCTGGAGTTGCTATGACTTGTGGGGTAGGTAGGTAATGGCATGGGAGGGAGAAGCTAAGAACAGAAACTTTTATTTCTCTTTTAATTTTAAAAAGATATTTATTTTTTAGAGAGAAGGGAAGAGATGGAGGAGAGGGAGAGAAACGTCAATGTGGGAGACAGACACAGATCAGTCGTCTCTTGCACGCCCCTAACCGAGGCCCGGGCCTGCAACTCAGGCATGTGTCCAGATTGGGAATCAAACCGGTGACCTCTTTTGGTTCACAGGCCGGCACTCAGTCCACTGAACCACACCAGGCAGGGCTGTTTTTTAATTTTAAAAGAAATTTCAAAATCCTTACCCAAGGATGTGCTTACTGATTTTAGAGAGACAAGAAAGGAAGAGGGAGAGAGAGAAAACATCAATGTGAGAGAGAAACATGGCATCGGTTGCCTCCTATTTGTGCCCTGACTGGGGACTGAACCCACAACCTTTGGTGTACGGGACGACGCTCCAACCAACGGAACCACCTGGCCAGGGCAAAAACTTTCATTTCTTGAATACCTATTACATACCAGAAGTGTGTTGGGTGCTTTACATACATTTTCCTTTATCCATGTGTTTCCTAAATTCAGTCGTTCCTGAACTTCCCAAGGGCATTTTGCCAGATGTATGTGATGTCTGTGTTCTTTCATAAGTGATATTCTTCACATTGCTTTGGGTTTTTATATCATTATTTTTTATGCTCAACGCTATTTTAAAAGATCTGTAGACACTTGTATTCATGGAAAATCAGTATCACTCATCCAACTACAACATAGTCGTCACTATAGTGCAAGCAGGGGAGGTCATACGATTAAGTTCCGGGAGCTACTGCTGCCTGACTGCAGGCACTGGGCCGCATTCCCGCCCCGGCCCTGCTCTTCTCCCTCAGAGACGGGCGTGGGTGCGAGGGGCTGGAGCCCTGGCTGGGCGGCTCTGCTGGGTACAGCATCGTCCGGATACACCAGGGTTGTGGGTTTGGTCTCCAATCAGGGCACATACAAGGATCAACCAGTGAATGCATCAACAGGCGGAACAAAAAAACGGTGTCTGTCGTCTGTCTCTTCTTTCTCTCTCTCATGGCCCCTCCTTCTCAAAAATCAACACATGAAGAGAAAAGGGTTGGCAACTAGCACCCGGCTCTAGTATTCGGTTGTGACACAGACAGAGAAGAGAATGACTTTCTCACGAAGTCAACATTACTTAGTCAATATTACTTAATCCTGTGTCTTTGGGTGACTTCAAGTTATGTCACGTCTTAGAAAACTTCTGCCAAAGAGTCACATCCCCAGATGGCCTGTGAGGAACTTGAGTTGGACAGCTGATGTGACACAGAAAGCCACCGGGCTCCTGAGTGAAGCTGAATTCAAATTCTGGTCTGCACACTTCCACTGGCCCTAATTTTCCAGAGGCATCCTGGGAAATTTAAGAGGTCCGAATCTGGGGGAACTTGGAGAGGAAATGATTGGAGGGTGAATGAAGGGAGTCACAGCTGGGAAAACCTTGGGGAAGGAAGCAAACAGTGAATCCCGTGATCTCAGCCTGTGTCGGCCACTCACTGACAGTCAGCTAGGCTCAGTGGGCTGCCAGTCCCATTTCTTGTTAGAACGGCCACCATCAAGGAGACAGGACAAGTGTTGGAGAAGATGTGGAGAAAAGAAAATGTAAATGGACGCAGCCACTTAACGGTTGTTTCTCCAAAAGTTAAAAATAGAGTGATCATGTGACTCAGCCATTGTACTTCTGGGCATATATCTGAAGGAAATGAAAACACTATCTTAAAGAGCTGTTGCTCTGGCCGGGTGGCTGAGTTGGTTGGAGCATGGTTCTGTACACCAAGAGGTTGTAGGTTTGGTTCCAGGTCAGGGCACATACCTAGGCTGCTAGTTTGATCCTCGGTCAGGGTGCATACGGGAGGCAACTGATTGATGTTTCTCTCTCACATTGATATTTCTTCTATCTCTGTCTCCCTCTTCCCTTCCCCCCGCCCCCCCGCCGCCACTCCCTGTCTCTCTAAAATCAGTAAGCATACCCTCAGGCAAGGATTTTTAGAAAAGAGATATATCTACACTCTCATGTTTATTGCAGCATATTTACAATAGTGAAAATAAGAAAACAGCCTAAGTGTCCATCAACGAATGCGTGGCTAAACAAGATGTGATATCTACCTACCTACCTACCTACCTACTGTAATATTGTTTAGCCTTGGGAAAGAAGGCTATCCGGCCACGTGCAACAATGTGGATGGATCTTGAGGGCATTATGCTAGGAGAGATAAGTCAGGCGCAGAAATAAAATACTGCATGTTCTCCTATTTGGAATCTAAAAATGTTGAACCCATAAAAACAAAAAGAATGGTGGTTACTAAGGGCTGGGGTGGGGGGTGTGTGGGGAGAAATGGGGAAATGTTGGGCAGAGGGTACACGCGTCAAGGTGTATAATGAGGATGTTCTGGAGATCTCATGTACGGCACGGTCACGGTAGCTGGCAATCCTCTACCATGTACTTGCAGGCTGCTGAACAGAAAGTCTCCAGATGTCCCCTGTAGACAATCGCTCTTACAATCTAATCAAACTAGACCCCCTGCTTTGATGTCCAGAAACACGTTTCCTGGAGCCAGGTGAATCTAGGCTACCAGCTGGGAAAGGTGTGGGGCATGTGCTTCACCCTTTCAAGTCGGCTCAGTGTGGGATTTCTGAGATGTTCTCTGGAGCACCAAGGAGGTTACTCACGGCCAACTGTCATGTCAGAGATGCATTCCGGCCGTTCTCTGGGAGCAGAAATACCTTACGGCAAAGAACTAAGTTTTCCACTCTAGGTGCCCCTTGGCACGGGACTGGGGTCTCCCCACCTCTTTCTCCCACTCTCGGTCTGTGTGGATCAGTGCAGAGGTGTGCTGAGAGGGGATTTTGAGAAATCCTTCTTCTCTATGGATCATCAAAAACCTTGGCAAACGGCTCTCTCTGTGCATTAGACTTCAACTCAGTCAGCACATACTGATCGAACATTTGCCAAAATCAAAGCACTGTCCTACGCACCAGGGGTGTCTTCTCTGTCCTCAAGGGGCTTAAATTCTGCTGATTCCAGATTTCCTCTCAGCTTTCCCAACAACAGGAGAAATAATAGGTGTCATTAAAATCAAAGTGCTTTTTCCAGACAAATGGCTTTTGTCACCATTGATGTCCCTTACACTCTAGAACCCATGATGCCAGGGGAAGGGATGGATCCTATGCCCTCCCTCTATAATGCTGACACACTCAGGAGACACCTGAGTGACACACTTACGGCGCTACAGATGTTCAGGGGTGGTCCAGTGTCCCTTGTCCTCCCCTCCACCATGAAATCTAGAGACAACATCGCAGGCTTTGTAGAATAAGATGGGTAAAGGATGGATGATGGGGAGAAATGGGTAAGTTCTGAGGAGCACTGTGAGACGAGAGGAACCTGGGACGGAGAAGTGGAACAAGTGAGCAGGTAGAGACGCTGGGTGGTAGTCTCCTTGGAGGTGTCCACGTCCTGACTCCTGGACTCTGGGAATGCGGGGCTTTACATGGCAAAGGACAACTCAGGTGGCAGACGGACCTAAAGCTGCTAATCAGTTGACCTTAGAGAGATGATCTTGAATTATCTGGTTGATCCCAATGGAATCACAAGATCTTTAAAGTAGTAAAGAGGGGCAAAAGAAGTAGTTAGACTCCACTAATCATTGCTGTGGAAAGGCCAGGGAAGAGGCCCCAGCTGGTGTGGCTCAGCTGGTTGGAGTGTCATCCCGTACATCAAAAGACTGTGGGTTTGATTCCCAGTCAGGGCGCGTACCTGGGGCGCAGATTCGATCTCCAGTTGGGATGTGTATGGGAGGGAACCAAACAATGTTGCTCTCTCTCCCTTCCTTTCTGTAAAATCAATAAACATATTTTTAATAGATTTTATTTATTTTTAGAGAGAGAGGAAGGGAGAGAGAAAGAGAGTGAGACCAACTTCAATGGGTAGTTGTCTCTCGCATGCGCCCACTGGGGACCTGGCCTGCAACCCAGGGATGTGCCCTGAATGGGAATCAAACCAGCAACCCTTTGGTTCAAAGTCCAGTGCTCAGTCCACTGAGCCACACCAGCCAGGGCTCAATAAACATTTTTTAAAAGTATTTTTAAAAAGGATGGGAGAAGACACCACAGGCCAAGGAATGCAAGCACTTCTACAAGCTGGGAAAGGCAGGGGAGAGATGCTCCCCAAAGCCTCCAGAAGAAACGCAGTCTTGCCGACACCTAGATTTTAGCCAGTGAGATGTGCGATGATGGATGTCTCTCATGAACCAAATATACATTTGGGTCGTTATGGGCCAGAAACTGTGTGGTAATTTTTACCCCAGCTCTAGGAAAGTAGTGTAAACTGCAAATTGACGCTGATGCCACTGGGTTCTTGGGGGAGGGGCTGGCGCTGCTCGGGAGTATCATAAAGAGGGGCTCATTCTCAGCAAAAGCCCTGGATCGTCGCCCAGGGACCAGGGCAGGGTGACGGCCTGGGCTCCAGGCAGGTGCCTGGGTCTCATGGTCGATTCCTTTGCAGGGCTGTGTGTTGGCCAAGGAGAGTGGACAATAGATGGTGAGTGTTTCTACACTGAAACCTTCCACCCCCTTCACTCCAACTTCCCTTAGCCCTTCTCTTTCTGTAAAAGCACAGGTCAGTGTATCGAATCCAGCCCTGCTCTCTGCTTCCTTCCAGAGTCACTCCTCAGGCCCTCCATCAGTGCCAGGCCCAGCTCGGTGGTTCCTGCTCAGAGTAACGTGACACTGCGATGCTCAGCTCCTGCCAGGGGGGTCCAGTTTGTTTTCTTGAAGGGAAAGTATTCGGTGGACACCTTGGGATTTGCTAATTCCCCGGAGGTCCTGGAGGAACTTCGTCTCACTGATGTACCAGCCAGTGCTGCTGGGGAGTACACCTGTCAGTATTACAGAAGAGTGAGCCCCAGCAGAAGGTCACCACCCAGTGATGTCCTTCTGCTACTGGTGACAGGTGAGGATGGGGTGCTCAAAATGACACATGCTCTTCCTAGGACAGGGGTGACAGAGCACCCAGAGGAAGAGAGTGGGGCAGGGGTTCTCATCGCCAGTGTAGACGGGGAGCGGGAGACGGAGAAAGACAGGAACAGAGGTGAGGACCATGGCTTCATCCAGGGCTTGTAGGAGGGGAGCCTCCTTCCGGGGGTCAGAGCAGAAAGAGGGGGAGATGAGGTGCCCGTCGCTTCCCACGCTCCCTACGAACCCCGCAAGGACACAACACTGATGGGGGACCCAAGGCTTCTCCCATGACTTCTATGCCTTCTTTCTCTTACAGGATGTTCACCTAAACCTTCCCTCCAAGCCCACCATGGGGGCAATGTGACTGCAGGGGCAAACGTGAGTCTTCAGTGCCAGCAGCCGAGACATGCGACTGACTTTAACATGTTTGCTCTACTGAAGAAAGGCACTCCTATGCCCACACAGCTCCGGAGTCAAGAAGGGAGGCAGACAGACTTCACCCTTCAAAGTGTGACTGTCGGTGACACTGGGAACTACAGCTGTGTGTACTACCAAGCAAAGGCTCCTTTCTGGGCCTCAGAGCCCAGTGATCAGCTTGAGATCTGGGTGACAGGTAAGGTTTTTACCATGAGGAGGACAAGACCTGCCACCCTGGAGTATGTCAGAGGGAAGCTCTGTCCCTTCCAAACTTTGGAGCTTGGGAAAAAAAATCACTTGGGAATAAGGAAGTTAGGGCTAGGACCCTGTGGTAGAGTTGACAAGATCTTCTGCTAACAGACAGAATGTGAGTGGTGGGCACTCACAGGAAAGGAGGCTGGGGGGCATTTGTAATAGCTGACCCCATTAGGAAAATAAGATCTAGCCACAAAGTCATTGCCTACCTCCTGGCAGGGCACCATTCATTTAGACTAAAGTGTGAATGACATCTCATGGAGTTATACCATAGGAACTTTCTTACCTTCTCCAGACAGACTCCAGAAAGGTGTTTTATGTTCATCATCTACCATTCATGCCTTTTAGCTCAACCAAGTGGAGGTCTTATTTTCCTGCCTAGACTTCTTTTTTAAGGGATGATTTTTTAAAATGTGGTAAAAAGGCATAATATAAAATTTACCATTTTAGCCGCTTTTTAAAAAAGATTTTTAGACAGAGGGAAGGGAAGAAGAGAGAGAGAAATGTCCACGTGTGGTTGCCTCTCACATACACCCCCTACTGGGAACCTGGCCTGCAGCCCAGACAGGTACCCTGCCTGGGAATCAAACCGGCGATTCTGGTTTGCAGGCCTGCACTCAATCCAGTGAGCCACACCAGCCAGGGCCCATTTCAGCCGCTTTTACGTGCACAGTTCAGTGGTGTTAAGTACATACATTCACACTGTTGTGCTGCAGTCACCACCATCCATCCAAAGGACTCTCTTCACCTTTAAAACTGAAACTCTGGCCCCATTCAACCACCCCCTCCCTTTCTCCCTCCCCCAGCCCCTGGCACCCACCGTTCTTCTTTCCGTCTCTATGAATCTGACCCGCCTAGACACCTCCACGAAGTGGAATCACACAGTGTTTGTATTTCTCTGGCTGGCTTCTTTCACTGAGCATAATGTCCTCAGGGTCCAACTATGTTGTAGCACGTCAGGATTTCCTTTTTTGTTTAAGGCTGAATAATGTTTGATCACACGGCCAGACCACCCTTTGTTGCTCCATTAACTCACTGATGCCCCACTTGGGTTGCTTCTTTCAGCTGTTGTGAATGCTGCTGCTATGGACACAGGTGTGCAAATATTTGTTTGAGGCCCTGCTTTTAATTTTTCTCAATACCCAGAAACAGAGTTGCTGGATCATAGGTAATTGTTTTTACCTTTCTGAGGGACCTCCACGCCGAGTGAGTATGTTGAGACCCCAGTGCCCGGATGCGGTGATACGGGGGCGGCGGGGCTCTGGGAGCTGAGCAGGCCCTGAGGGTGAGCCGCCAGGACCAGGGCTAGAGCCCTTATAGAAGGGCCCGGGGAGCTCCCTGGCCCTCCGGTCATGTTCTCCAGGACACCTGTACTGCTCTGTGGTCCACTTACTGACTCCATTCTGTTTTCCAGGTCAGTGTGCAGGTAGTCAATGTTCCCTCTAGGGACAGATAATTGGGGGGAAAACATTCAAACAACCGGAACCATCTGAGCAAGAAAGAAGCACCCATCACTTGGGTAGATGGTTCCATGGTCTGGAAGGGTATGAAGGGAGTTTTGTTTTGCAAGTAATTACAACCATTTGGATTTTAGTTGGGCCCAGTAATTAATAACACATTTTCCCACAGATTACTTAGCCTCTGTCTCAGTTTCCTCATCTGCTAAATGGGTTTGATAGTCAGTAGCATCTACACAGTGGATTTGCAGTGAGATTCTCATGAGTCACTTTACCAAAATCCTTTCCCAATCGTGTCCGGTGCATAGTAAATACCACATAAAATATGCTGTTACTTTCATTATGAACACCCAAAACTTCTCCCTCTGAGTTCCAAAACTGTTTTTTTAAGATTTTATTTATTTTTCAGAGAGGGGAAGGGAGGGAGATAGAGAGGAAGAAAAGAGGAAGAGAAACATCAATGTGTGGTTGCACCTTGTGTGCCCCTACTGGGGACCTGGCCCACAACCCAGGTGTGTGCCCTATATTAGGAGTCAAACCAGTGACCCTTTGGTTCACAGGCCAGCGCTCAGTCCACTGAGCCCCACCAGCCAGGGCCCAAAACAGTTTTATCAAGAACTGCATTCCTGACCCTGGCCGGGTAGCTCAGTTGGTTAGAGCATTGTCCCGATACATCAAAGTTGCAGGTTCAATGCCCAATCAGGGCACTTATAAGAAGCAAACAATAAATGCATCAACAAGTAGAACAACAAATCCATGTTTCTCTCTCTTAAAAAAAAGTGTATCCCTCTCAATAATGGTGAGTATTCTTATCATTACTAATAATTACAAAGATTGGTGGGAAATTATATGATATCTAAGGTCTTCCAGGTTCTAAAAAGGCCAGGGATGTGTCTCTCTTTAACTCAGTTTAATCACATGTGACAAAGTCAAGCACAGGTGAAGTGGCCTTTTCCAAAAGTGATGATAAACAGAGAGGCAAAATGGGAAGACAGACATAATAAGCTGGACCTGCTCTCCATAGAAAAGGGAACTTTTATTTAATTTTTGGATTATTCAACAACTGGTGATTAATAGATTTTCCCATTCTTCTATTTGTTCTTGGCATATGAGGGGCCTTATGGGTTTCTTACTCGACGTTTGTAATTACTGCTGCTTCCGACGTGAATATGCAGATACAACAGGTGCCCAGCCAAGTGTTACCAAGCCCAACCTAGACCTTTCCTGTCATCCTTCAGCCATGACCCAAGTCCTGGCAACTGCTACCAGGGGCCACCGACTGAGGAACAGAGGAGGATGTCAGGGCAGTGTGCTTGGAGGGCAGATGACAGGGTGCCAGTGCACGGATGGATTACTAGAAGCAGCCTCGGAGTTCCCCTTGGTGTGTTACCACAGCCTTTTATAAACCCTCAGTTTTACGCAGCTGTTGTAGGACCAGACCTTTGAACCTGTTGCCATACCGGTGTGTTGAGCTTGCAGAGATGTGAGGGTTATCTCATCGGCCAAGACAAGAGGTAGAGAAAGCCAGATGGGTGGCAGTAATCCTGACAGAAGGAAAGAGAAGTAATTGAGCTTAACGTCATTCCTTCTTTTCCTTAGACCACTGGCTCTCACCTCGGTGACAGATGGCAATGTCTGGAGATACTTCTGGGGGCCACAGCTGGGGATGTGGGGATGCTCCTGGCATCTAGGAGGCAGAGCCCAGAGGTGCTGCAAAACATCTTATGATGCACAGGACCCTCTCCCCACAAAGAATTATCTGGCCCCACGTGTCAATAGTGCAAACATTGAGAAATCCTGCCAGAAACCCATTGTCTAGTTCCCAGTTAGACACCAGAGTTCTTGGCAGGCACTTTAGGGGTAGACAACATACTCTCCTCCGATCCCTGCAGCCTCTAATCATTTAAAATATATGTCCCAAACCAGGGGCTATTCAAGAAATATTTGCCACCAAACTTGGCCTCATCCGTCTTCAAGGCCACTTTATTCCCAAGTTCAATTTGTCTCGTTTTCCAGTTATTCATTATTTCTGAATTTGAACAAGTTTAATGCGGCCCCTGGTTCCACAGAAAAGAGAACGCAGCGGGAGGGGTGGGCCGAGCTGACAGGAGGAAGTTAAGACAAGCAGCACCCCACTTCCTGACGGCGCCTGAGATGGAAACCAAGCCGCGTAGGGCAGAGAAGTGAAGAACCAGAGGCAGGGGTCACAGGAAACAGAGGAAATACATGCTTGAGAGTAAACTGTGAACGCCCCGTGGCAGCTCCCTTCTCTGAAGTAAGAGCTGAAGGAGGGGAGCTGCCGGGGCTCAGGGTGCACTTTGTCTCCTTCGGTCAACCCCAGGGCAGGGATGCCGCAGGTGTGGGTGGCGAAGCACTGCAGAGCGATGTGGCGAGTGTCACCTCAGCAGAGCTAGCAAAGCCTGTATGTGCTCCCAGCCACATTGTGTTACTCACAGGTGTGTGACCCCGTGCAACTCAAGTAAGTGCTCTGAGCTTTAGTTAATGTTTAAAAAAACAAAACCCACTCTTCCTCTATCCTCTCAGTGCAACAGGATTACAAAACAGCTGTGCGGCTATGAGGAAGAAGAAAGATTAGGCACTCAAAACATGTTAGGGTGGGTTTTTTACTATTTAGTCCTCAAAAGCACGATGGAAAATGGGCAAAATACTCCCTTTACCCTGAGAACCACAGTCATAACTGACTTAAGAGAATTCTGTCCAGCTGTTTTTGCCCAGGTTCTCCAGAGAAATATACCCAATAGTACATAATATGTTATATATATATATATATATATTTAAGAGCTTCCTTTTGAGAAAATTGAAAAATACTACCCAACAGAATAGAAATAATGTAACGGATAGTCATGCATCACTGCCCAAGATTATACTTGTCCACATTTGGTGATATTTGCCACATGCTGTTTTCTTCCCACAAACCAAGTCCTTTTTTTCTTTCCCCTCCAGTAGAAACTTCACCCTGACCTTAGCAGTATCGTTTCTGTGCATGTTTTTATATGTTTACAATATAGGTGCACATCTAAGACTATACTTTCAGGGATCATTTCCATAGTTCATTACAATATAGGTACACACCTTCAAGTAGTAGTGTTTTTAAAATTATGCATTAATAGTACACTACTGTGACGATTGTTCTGCAACTTGAATTCTGTCTTCTAGATAAAACAGAGCCTCCCAGGACAGCAGGAAGAACACTAGGTAAGAGGAGAGAGCCTCCTGGGATACAGAGCCCTTCAAACATGGGATGAGGCTCCCAGAGAGCTGTGTGTTGCTGGGAATGTCCTCAGGGATATTTCTGTATCAGTGATGCCAGTATATGGGGGTTTAATGCAATGTCTTTTGAGGTGGGTGGGGTTGGAGTCTGGCCCTGCCTACTCAGTAGTTGGGTGCCTTTGGAAAGCTTTCAACTCCCAGACCCTCAGCTTGTACCTCTATAAAATGGGTATCACGCTATGTCCCTTCTGGGATACTTGTGTGAGAAAAATGTAACGAGTTTCCAGCACATCACGGAAACCCAGCCCATGGTAGACATACATGGGCATCAGAACAGGTCTTGGGAAGCTGCCTGGGCCTCACCCCTGCTCCCCCCTCGTCAGGGACCACTGAAATCATCCTCATTGCCGCCTTCGCCGCACTCTTCCTCCTCGCAGCCTTCCTCATCTGCAAATGGATCTGCTGTGGTGAGTTCAGGAGAAAGGTGGATGAATCCTCTGAAGGAAACAGAGAAACATACCAACCAAGCTAACATCACAGGTTTAATCCATCCCCTTCTCTTTTTCCACCCCCAGGGGCAGCTCTAAACAAGAAGACAAAACGGTAGGCCACTCACGGACCCCGTCAGCCAACACTGAACTCGTCCTCCGCCCTTTCCGGGATGACTTACCCTTCTTTGTTAACTCATGTGCCCCAGACCAGCTCCCACGACCACCCCAGGTCTCTCTCCATGTTCTCTCTTCTTCCAACCATCCTCCACTTCTCGCTCCATGTCCTTTCCTGGATTCTTTCCCCCAACCACTTCCTTCTCTTTGCCTCCAAGGCTCTCCTGAGTACAGGATGACTTGGAGACCTGAGGGTGAGGTGTCCAAGCTGGGAGTGAGTGGAGAGACTGGGGTGGGTGACCTTGCTTTTCTCTTCCCAACCTCCTTGATCTCCAGTGCTTCACTCTGTTTCTCTCTCAGCTCCTGCTCTTCTAAGAAACCTGAAGAAGTTGTGACAGGTAATCAACCCGGGAAAGAAAGTGGTGGCGTGGCGTCCATGTGTAAATGTGTTTTGAGTATATGATGCATGTGTGTGTGCTGTGTGCACACATGGGTGTTGTGCACGGGAGTCTGCACATGTAGGGAAGTGGCTACATATACATGTGAATATGTACACACATATATTCAGTGCAAGCACATGTTGGTGAGTGTTGTGTGCACACACGCATCACTGCATGTGTGTGTGCATTATGTGTGAGTATATGTGTGCATGTGTAGACCTGACACCTGGAACCTGGGCATGAACCAATGGCAGATTCTTCTCTCTTCCAGATGCGTCTACAGCTATGATGAGCCGCTCTCCTGCCCTGGTGAGTTTCCCATCAGCGCCTTGCTCAGTCGAGGCTCTCCACTGCTCCCTTTTTAGTTCTGTCCATGGTTTGGACTTCTGCTTTCCTCCGCTCCAACCCTTCCTCTACATTTCAGGAGAACCTGGTCTGGATTCATCTATGTTCCTCTGGCCATGGGACCTTCCTCCCGTGACACCTTTGTGAGGACACTTCCCATTCCCTAAATGCGTTGAAGTTCCTCATAGGAGTAATGGGATGGCTTAATGGGCTCACAGCCACGGAAAGATCAGTGAAATGCCAGGTGTGGCATAAGCACTCAGTACCTTGAAGCTATTGTTATTATAACTACCTGTGGGACCCCAGGCAAGTGACGTTCCCACCCTGAGCCTCAGTTGCCTCGTCTGGACAATGACAATGATAATCCTACCCCTTGGTAAAAACATAGTTAAGATCCCCCTTTAAAGCACCTGACTCACTGTACACCACACAGCAGACCCTGCATCAGTTTTTGTAGCAATGTTCATAGTAGCCCTTCCTTTTTCCCTTTCTAATTCAATTTTTGAACAATTGTGTCAATCCCTGGCTGACTGGCCTAGTCAGTTGGAAAGTTGTCCCGTACACCAAAAAGGTTGTGAGTTCGATCCCCAGTTGGGTTGCGTATAGGAGGCAACTGATTGGTGTTTCTGACATTGATCTTTCTCACCCCCTTTCCTCTCTCTCTCAAAATCAATGAACATATCCTTGGGTGGGAATTTAATACATATTAAAAATTGCACCAAAATGCACATAAAATTCACCGTTGTAACGTGTTTGATTCGGCAACATTTGGCACCTTGAAGTGTTGTGCCACAATCCCCATTATCTAGTTCAAGACGTCATCGCCCCGAGAGGAAGTCCCACACCCTTTTAGCAGTCGCTCCCCAGTCCCTCCCCCGCCCCTCAGCCCCTGGCAGTAACTAATATGCCTTCTGTCCCTATGGATTTACTCAGCCTGGATGTTTCCTACTAACACTCATTTTGGTAACTGTTTGTGTAAGTTTTCTATTGCTGTGTAACAAGTCATCCCTAAATGTGCCGGCCTCGGGCAATATTTGTTGTCTCGTGCTTGCAGGCCAGCTCTGGAGTGGCTGAGCTGGGTCCCTCACTCTGGGCCTCACAAAGCTGTGATGAAGGTGCCGGCCAGGGCCTATCAGGGCGTGGCTAGGAGAGGATTTGCTCCCATGCTCACTCGGCTCGTTGTCGGCAGGATCCAGTTCCTTGCTGGCTGTTGGCCGGACACCATGCTAGTCCAATGGGCCTCTCCAAAGGGCAGCCGATGACGTGGCAGTGGGCTTCATCGGTGTGAGCGAGCCGGGGGACAATAGAGAAGCAGGCATCATGGAAGGCATTGTCCTTCATGACCTCATCTTGGACATGACCTCCCTCCTTTCTTGGTGTGCTTTTGTGTTTGCTCTATTCCTTTGACAGAGGAAAGATGCTGGGTCCCCCCTAACCCTTAGGAGGGGTGCTGACCCTGCAAAGGTTTGAGGACTCGCAGGCCCGGCCGTGGGCGCCTGGAGAGCCGTCTACAGCGCTGTCGTTATGACTGCTCCGTTGTTACCACGCAACACTCCTCCCTGGGAGACTGATTCTCTTCTCCTCACTCACCCTCAGGATGAAGGATCTCAGGAGTCAAGAGCTGAGGAACCTCACGGAGTGACATATGCTGAGCTGAATGCCAAAGCCCTGAGGGAGGGCCCTTCCAGCCTGGTGACGCAGCCTCTGGAAACCTGTGTGTACTCAACCCTTAAGACACAGCCAGGAGGAGATCTGGATCCGGGAGGAACCTCCAACAAGGGCCTGGACAATGGGGCAGAAGCCCCTTGGGCGACTAGACAAATGGGGATGCCTTTCCTCAAATCTCCAATGTAGACTTGTTTTCTTCTTCTAAAAAGATAAAATGTGTATCTTTTTAGTTAAGATTTATTTTTAGAGTGAGGGGAAGGGAGGGAGGGTAACACCGATGTGAGAGAGAAACATCAATCAGTTGCCTCTCGCATACGTCCCCACTGGGGATTGAACCCACAACCCCGGCATGTGCCCTGACTAGGAGTTCAACCAGCAGCCTTTAGGTTTGTGGGATGATGCCCTACCCACTGAGCTGCACCGGCCAGGGCTATTTTTTTTTTTTCAGTGTAAGGTATCGTTTACAGAGTGATATGCCAAGAGATGACTCGGGATGGGGGGAGGACGGTGGCGCTGGCCATGCCAGGAGGACCAACCACATGATTAGGGTGCTGGGGGTTTGAGCCAGGGGCTATCAGCCCAACCCCTGGGGACAGAGGAAGCCTGGAGACAGGCTCAGTCACGTGGGCAGTAATTCAATCGGCCGCACCTGTTCATGAAACTGCGCTAAAAATGCTGGATACTGAGGTTGGGGACGCTTCCTGGTTGGTGACACATCTTCATGTGCCTGGAGGGTGGACATGTCCTGAAGATATCGGAAGCTTTGCTTTGGGACCCTCCAAGACCTCATCATGTGTGTCTCTTCATTGAGCCAGTACTGATTTATTTTCTTTATAATCAAAGTGTAACTCTAAGCCTAGCACTTCCTTTGTATTCTTAGGGTGGCTCTAGAAAATTATTGGTTATGAGTGGGGATGGGGGGGGGGACTCCAAAATTCTCGGCTGTTGGTCAGGGTGGCCTGAGGACACCAGAACTTCCAGCTGGTGTCTGAAGTGAGGGCAGTCTTGTGGGCACTGCCCCTTTACCCTGTGAGGGCTGTGCTAACTCTGGGTAGTGAGGGCTGGAATTATACTGCAGCACCAAAGTGGATCCTTCCCCAGACCGGCTTTCAGATTAGACCTCAGCCCTGGCCGACACAGTGAATACAGCCCCTGAGGATCTTGATGGTTGTGCCTTTTTTCTGGCCCTCAGAACTAGGAGAGAATAGGATGTGTGTGTTGCTTAATGCCGCTAAGTCTGTGGTAATATTGTAACACAGCACTAGATAACTAACATGCTTACTCAGACCTGTGCGCCCTTCCATAGAACAGTGCCTGAGACAATGAAACGCTTCACCACTGGGGGGTGAGATAGGGAAGCTTTGAATGATTTTATGGAACAGGATATGAATGTGCTTTTGAGACTGAGCTGGGTTCCAATTTTTGCACCCGTCTCTCCCACTTCTGTGTCTTTGAGCAAGTGAACCTGCTTTCCTGTGCCTCAGTTTACCTATCCAGTTAATGAGGCCCAAAGGAATTGTGTCAAATACAACTCGGCAGGAAGCTCACAGAATCACCTGTATGGTGAAGTTCACAAATTGGTCAAGATGAAGGTAAATTGGGATTTACACTTTTAAGTGACAGAGGCACAAATATTTTCCAACAGTGACAAAAAGCAGTGAAGGTGGCTTGCTAAGTGGATAGAGAAGAAAAGCTGCCGTTTCAGACTTTCTGATAATTTCATTTTGGGGGGACCCACTGGCTCACACCCACATGTTTTCTAGGCATGTAAGTTTTCTTTTATCATCACCTGAGGACATGCTTATTGATTTTAGACAGAGGGGAAAGGAGGGAGAGTGGGAGAGAAACACTGATCAGTTGCCTCTCACATGCTGCCTGACCAGGGACTGGACCTGCAACCTCGGCATGTGCCCTGACCAGGACCTTGCGGTCCATGGGATGACACTCCAACCGAGCCACACTGGCCAGGCCTCAAAGATGCTTTTAAGTACAGAGAGCATGACCTCACGAAGTCACTGTGAACCCCAGACAATGGCGGTGCAGTACACAAACCCCATGTGTCCTGGAGGACTGGGCAGTGAAGACGGATGGAGCACGAAATGGCCTGAGCCACTCTGCTGATGGAACAACGCCCCTCTGATGTCAGAACCTGGCCATACAGTCAAGCACACCGATTAACAGCATTGCTCTGTCACGCTGCGTCCCTGGAGCTCTAGGGAGGTTTGAACCAGCTTGTCAGCATTACTTACTGGCAATTGTGGAAGTGACATTATACAGTGGGTCCTGTGGGACACCCAGGGGGCTGTGCCACCCAGTCCGGGAATGCAGCAAGAGTATGCCCACGTGCCTACCACGCAGTGGAAACCCCAGCCAAGGACTCACTCTGGGTTCCTGGTTCTGAGGGGCCTTATGAACAAGGCAACAGTTTCTGTTCCAAGAGAAAGAGCATCCACAGAGCCCTTGGAATGGGGAGAAAACGAGGACTCATGCTTGCTGAGTGGGGATCCTTTGCCTGGGATGCCAATCCTCTGTCTGTTTGTTTTTTAATCCTCACCTGAGGGTCTGTTTTATTGATTTGGGGGCAGTTGGGCGGGGGCAGGGAAGAGAGAAAGAGAAAGAGAGACATTGATGTGAGACCAAAACATTGGCTGCCTCCTGCACGTGCCCCAACCAGGAATTGAACCCAAGACCTAGGTACGTGTTTTGACTGGGAATCAAACTCTCAACCTTTTCATGCGCAAGACGATACTCCAACCAACTGAGCAGCCCAGCCAACGGCACTGATCCTCATTTTAATGCTGTATATGACACTGCTCTACTGTATCCTTTTCCTGCACTACACCGTAGGCTCATCGGCGTGGCCACATGGTTCTGCTGCTCTTCTGTGGCAACTGAATCTGCCTGCCAGTTAGTGAGAACTACTTGGCCCAAGTCCTCAGTTCCGTGACTGTGTACAACGTTTAGCAATGTGAATGTTTGCCCAGGATCTCCAATATTTTCAAGCAAAGTGCCTTCATTTCCTCAGGAGGGATCCCGCAAGCTCAAGTTTTAGGCATTTGAGAGGCTGCCTGAAATCCGATGGAGACACAGGAGGGCCTCCTGTGAGTGACACTCTGGAAGACCAGTGTGGCAGGGACATGTCGCAATCGATGGCAACACCGTGTTTCAGGAAGCTGGCTGTGGAGGAGGGAACTGAGAGGTTCAGAAAAACATCGTAACTGCCCACACTCTTGACTCAGGGGCGATGCTGTGCCCATCCCACATTTTCTCCCTTCCTCAGACGGCAAAACTGAAGGACGGCCTTCGGACAGGCTGATGTGACGCTATGATCTATAAACTGCTCCCCCTCCTCTGTTTCAGTAAGTCTGGTGTGGCCGGGAATGGGGACCATAGAAAACAATATAGCTGGTGAGGAGGTTTCAATTGGGGGTGGAAAAGAAATAATAACATCAGCTGTGGTTTACTGAGCGCCATGTATCGGACATCTTGCCAAGATACATACATTGCCTCTAAACCAGTGCTTTCCAAATTGCAATGAGTCTTGCTCCAACTTCATGGTTTTTGCTGAATATCTGGTAGTTTTCTTATCAACTGAGATGTTTTGCTTAAATAGAAGTGTTTAACATAGAAATTTTGTATCAATACTATGAATAAAAGTCCAGTGTCCAACAGAAGGGAACTATGAAATTCACTGAAAAGGAAACAATGTTACAATATTTTAACTATGCACTTATGGAGCTTCCAAGAAGGAAACCTGCTATTTGTTTGCTATAAAGACAGTTAGCCACGATGGAGATGTATCAGAGGCTAGCTCCAAATAGAACTTCCTGTCGATACAGTCAAAGGCACTATAAGAGTGATTTAATCCTTTCTTCTGCCTGAAATCAGCACATGACACCAAAGGATATATTCCACATTTTGGAAACATCACTGCCACCCTTCCAAAACCAACAAAAAAACCACCACCCTGGAAGAGAGAACTAGGTCAATTTTTATAGGTGGGGAATCAAATCTGAGTTTGCAAACTGAACTGGTCTTAGAGTGCACATGTGGTATGTAGGAAGTGAAATTTCAACCCAGAACTGCCCAGCTCCAAAAATCTTTCCTCCCAGCCATGATGTTACCTAAAGAAGTATGCATATATCCTAGGAATGTTTGAAAGGACTCGGGGTTGCTGAAAGCTAGAGGACATAAAGACAAGAGGTTCAGAATGCCCCTGGTATGGGGCTAGGATGCAACCCAAAATGTTTTCAAAAACCAATAGAGCTTCATATCCACACCAAAAAAAAAAAAAAAATCAGGAGAGCCCTGGCCTAGTGGCTCAGTTGGCTGGAGCATCATCCTACACACCAAAAGGCTGCAGGGTGCATATGGGAGGCAACTGAGTGAAGTTTCTCTCTCACATCAGTTTCTCTCTCTCTCCCTCCCTTCCTAAGATCAATAAATGTGTCCTTGGTGAGGATTTCTTTTAAAAATCAGGAGAGGAGAACCTTTCCTGGCGTGGCCCTTTGCACTTGCCTTTCTCCTGCTGCCACAATTTTTGGATCCCAAGTCTTTAGGCTACTCCACAGAGCATCCCTTCCCTCTGAGGTTTGTCTCAGAGAGACACAGGTGGGGAGGCAGTGAAGATGGCACGTGGTCTGGGGACTCAGCTCTTGCACACGCACCTGTGGGGCTCTGGGAAACACATCGTCGCTGAAGAGTCTCCTCACCTTTCAGGGTCAGCTTCACTGTGAGGTCCACGTACACATGACACATACTAAGGCACACAGTTCATGCTCGATAAATGGTATTTTTTGTGTTTATCATTCCTTTTATCATTGTTTTCCTCTTTTTCTGTGGTCAGGCACTGATTTTACTAGCAATTCCTTCCATAAATCTTCCCTGGACATGTGTATGAAAAATTGCATTCCTTTTTTATGGCTGAGTATTCCACTTATCTAATTGTGTATCTATTCTATTTATGCATAGAGCACGTTTTGTTTAGCCATCCTTCCGTTGACAGGCAGCGGGTCCTTTCCACTTTGTGGCTACTCATTATCTTCCTCCCTTCAATGAAGGTAACTCTTCTCATTTTGTCTTTGAGAGATAGTGAGTCTCTTAACAGACTTCCTATGGCTCCCCCAAGCAATGAGGTCTCTGAGCAGATTTTGGCTGTTACTTGGGTATGTCCTGCTAAAGACAGAGCTAAGGTCAGGTGACATGTTCTGGGGCCTGGGAGTGTAGGATAAATGTCACATGTCACACAGGCTGACCACTATCAAGCTCAACAAGGCTGTTAACCTCCTTCGAGCTAACAGAGCACAGCAGACCACTGTGGTGCACCTGTTCTCCCTCAAAGGTGCTCAGGCCCCAAGGGCCTTGAGGAGTGCAGGAGGGGTTGATGCAGAAGATGCCAGTATTGCAAAGACTGACTTTGCAGACCCCAGAATGTTCCATGAGCTGAGAGACAGCACATTCTAACTTTATAGGGTCGGAATCACAATCCCCTCAGAAGTTGTTTCACAACACCTAGCATATATTTGCCTTAATTTTAAGTCAGATTGATCCCCACTCTCTCAGGGCAGCTCATTCAGCCTCTAGAGTTTCTAAGTCCTTCAGACTTGAAAATCTCTTGCAGAGAAGTACCTGGGTTCTTGCCATCCACTTTGCCTGCTGCCGTGGAAGCAGGCTGGTGTTCAGCAGTGGCCTCTGATGTGCTATGCGGAGAGCAGAAAGAGCACCCACATGCCTGCCCAGCATGATCCGCTAGAAAAGATCACTGCTGTGGGCTCCACCTCCTCTTTGCAAAGCAGGGCCAAAGGACAAAGGTCCGGGCTCCAGGGTTTCGATGCTCAGAGGCCAGGCTCTCTCTCCACAGCTGGGGTCATGCCGTTTCCCAGGTGCAGCTTCTAGTGAGTTTGGTTGTCCATAGGCATCTCTCACCTCTTTACTTTTTTCCGCTCCCTGTGGATTCACTGAATATAAGAAATTTCTTTTCAATACATTAAACACACCCGTTATGTTCCTTTTTTCCTACGGTGGTAAAATATATGTAAATATTTATCCTTTTAACCATTTGTGAGTGTACAGTTCAGTGGCATTTAATTCCACATTTTTCTTTTTTTTTATAGTTGTTGGAGAATGTCCTTTTTTTAAAGATTTTATTTATTTTTAGACAGAGGGGAAGGAAGAGAGAGGAAGAAACATCAGTGTGTGGTTGCCTCTCATGCGCCCCCTACTGGGGACCTGGCCAGCAACCCCAGCATGTGCTCTGATTGGGAACCAAACCAGCGACACTGTGGTTCACAGGCCAGTGCTCAGTCCACTGAGCCACACAGGCCAGGGCAAATTAAACACATTCAGAATGTCATGCAACCAACATCACCCAAAACTTTCTCATCGTACCAAACATTAACTCTGTATCCATTGACCAATAACTTGTTTTCTCCTTCTCTCCCAAACTCTTAGTAACTAACATCTATTCTGCTTTCTCTATGAATTTGCCTGTCCTAGGTACTTTGTGTAAGTGGAATCATACAATGTTTGTCCTTTCGTGTCTTGCTAATTTCATGTGCACAATGTTCTCAAGATCCAGCCGCGTTACAGCCTATGTCAGACTTTCATTCATTTTTACAGCCGAAGAGTAGTCCATCGTCTGTATAGACCATACTTTATATATCCATTTAGCCTTTGATGGACACTTCAGTCTTTTCACTTTGTGTCTCTTTATTACTTTTGTCTACCAAAACATGAACTGCACTATTTTTGGTCCATGCAATTTTAGCACAAAGCCCTGGCAACGTCCCCCTTTTCACTACTGAGACACAAAACCGTCTAGTGTACACAGGGGAAAAGAGGAAATCTCTTACAAACACAGGCCTAACCGGTATCCACTGAGTTAGATGAATCTGTTTCTTATAATAATGTCCATAAACAGATTTCATATCAATTTTAAAGAGCTCTCAGGCAAAGTATACTCAGGCAAAACTGTACCAACCACACCAAGCAGGATGTATGTAAATGGGCTGAGTCGTACATAACCGCCTCCCCTTGGAAGCTTCTTCCCAAGCCCGCTGATTTTGAGTATCTATGCTCCCATCTCGATAACGAAGCAGGGCTCTCCATCTCAGCTCAGCGTCTGCGTCGCCCAGGAGATTCTGAAAGCTTGCCACCTGACACCTATTCCAAGGGATTCTGACGCAGTGCTGTTGTGGTCTGGCCTGCCCACCGCAATTTCTTCATTGAATTTATTGGGGTGACACTGGTTAATAAAATCACACAGGTTTCAGGGGTACGATTCTATACTGCATCATCTCTATGTTACACTGTTCATCACCCACAGTCAAGCCGCCTTTCAGCACTGTTTAGCCTGGTCTTTGCCCTCTCCTACCTCCCCCTACCCCCCTTGCCCTCTGGAAATCACCATATACTATCGTCTGAGTTCTGAGGCAGGGCTTTTTTTGCTTAATCCCTTCACCTTTTCCAGCCAGCCCCCTATCCCCACCCCTCTGACAGCTGTCAGTGTGTTCTCTGTATCTATGAGTCTGTGTCTATTTTGTTCATTAGATTCCACAGGTAAGTGAAATCATATGGTATTTGTCTTTCTCTGACTGGCTTATTTCACTTAGCATAATAATCTCCAGCTCCATCCATGCTGCCAAAAAAGGTAAGATTTTCTTCTGTTTTTAGAGCCACATAGTATTCCACTGTGTGACTATACCACAGCTCCACTCATCTACTGATGGGCCCTTGGGCTGTTTTCAAATCTTGGCTATTGTAAATAAATGCAATGAACACAGGGGTGCATATGTTGTTTTGAATTAGTGTTTCTCTGGACATATTCCCAGAAATTCAACTCCTGGGTCAAAAGGCAGTTCCATTTTTAATTTTTTGGGGTAACTCCCTACTGTTTCCACAGTGGCTGCACCCCTTGGCATCCACTGCCATGTTCAACAGCCCTCCGGCCCCCAGGGGAGCTCAGTGTGTAGCAACATAAAGAACAACTGGGCTGCAGCCTCTTACAAATGCAGCTGAATGTGCCACAGGGGAGGGACGTGAAGTCCTCCCCTTTCTGGAGGACCCGCTGGGATTCTGAGGCTTGTTTCAGGGTGCCAAGCAGCAATCCTCATCCTCTTTTGAGAATCAGAAGATGAAGAGAGATGATGAAGAAAGGATCAGAAACCTTTCCTATATGAGGCTGAGGTTGACTTAACCAGCCCTTTCCAATGATAGGGTTCACTGCATCTCTGAGTCAACCCTTACTCACCAAATAGATATTGGTGATGATGGCGAGGTTTGGGAAGTAGAGTTATGGCGAACCTACTGTATCTTTTCATCTCTTTGTAAAATCTCTCCACCATGTGCTTAAATTGGAGCACCTCACCAGTCAGTCCATGTGCATACGCTGAGGTCCTACTACATGCCAGGTCCTGTGTAGACATTGAGGGGAGGCTGAGGTGAACAGCACAGAGTCCTGCCTTCCAGCTGCTCAGACAGTGACATCTTGTGTCCTCCACAGTATGAGGTACATAGTCTTCTATGAATTCTCTTGAAAAATTACAAACATTTGGTTCTGTCTTAATTTATGTCACGTAAGGCACCAAGCAGCCTTTCTTATGGTGGTTCTTCCACGACAGATGAGACTGCCAATAGACTCAGAACTGCTCAGGGCCTCAGATAACATCAGAGGTGGGCTGGGGCCCCACTCATGTCCCACGTGTCCCCAGTGTCCCTCACGGTTTGTGCATCCTTCCTCAGAGTGGGGGATGAGGGAACTGGAAACTTACACAGCCTTTTAGTAGGAAAGGTAAGAAAGACTGAGAGCGGCTCAGGATAGAAGACAAGGACAGGAGGATTTGTGGAACCAAGGAAGACCCTGGTCATTCGGATCCCGCAGCAGCTGCAGCGGCTCTCACCGTGGCGTGGCTGTCTCCGATGGAGTCGTACAAGTGTTCAACGACACAAAGGTGCGCGTGTCCTTGACACTAGAGGAGGTGACGAAGCACAAAAAGGCAGAGGTCTTTCGCCTGAGTGAGGACAAGAACATCACTCCGGAGGAAGACGAGGAGCTCCTGGGAGATGGTGTGGGCCACATCGCCGACGGCCCCTACACCACCGTTGTCAAGATGCTGCTGGACAAAAATAAAAACCATGATGCAACCTATGAGACCAGAGAGAGCAAGGAGGAGAACACGGTGTTTATCTTCAGGGTCCCTGAATCTGCACCCCAAGAAAGCAAAGGGATCTACACCAGCTCCAAGGATGCCATCAAAAAGCTGACAGGGATCAAGCATGAATCACAAGCAACCGCTCTGAGGCGATCAAGGACTGCTGCACTGCAGCAAGGAAGATGTGGGGCCAGCTGTCATCTCCCTAGAGGGCAAGCCTTCGTGAGCCCCCTCCAGCCCCCTGCCTGGAGCATCTGGCAGCCCCAGGCCTGCCCGTGGGGGTTGCAGGCTGCCCTCTCCCAGCCAGACAAGAGGAGCTGGGGGACCCCAGCAAGGGAAGGGCAATCCCTTCATCCAGTAGCCAAAGAGCCCCCACTACCCCCTGGACTTTCCTCCCCACCGCCCCTCCCCTGAAAGTTCTGGCCTTCCCAAACTGCTTTTGATCTGCTGATTCCTCTTTGGCTGGAGCAGACCAAGTTCCCCCACGGGACCCCTGTTTGGGGGAGACCATATTTTTTAAACAACATCCCAACTCCCCTCACCTTCTTTCCCTTACTCATGCTGCCAGTTTCTGCGGGCAACACTGATATGCTTGTCTGTTTCTTTCTGTATCTAAATGTAGAGCCCAACCTTCCCCATGCCATGTGGTTCTCTTCCTCTTTTCTACCTGCTCATGGCCACACACAAAGTAGGCCCAATACGGGGCCTTCAACTTAAAAACACACAACAATAAAAAAAGAAATGGCCTCCAGCCTTGGGAGATGAGGGCAGCACAGAGAACCTCCGTGAGATATGACGAAGGGACTGGGACCAGAGCCGAAGCCAGAGTCCAACTCAGGGAAAACAGAAATCCCCAAAGCACAACCTCTGGGGGTCTTTCCTCACCAAGAGCCCCTGAGATGGTCCCTTGGGGACCAGGGCAGGGTGACGGCCTGGGCTCCAGGCAGGTGCTTATGTCGCATGCACGATTCCTTTGCAGGGCTGTGTGTTGGCTATGGAGACTGGATAGATGGTGAGTGTTTCTAAATTGAAACTTTCCTTCTCCTTCACTCGTCATTCCCCTTAACCCTTCCCTTTCTTTAAAAGAGCAAGTGAGTGTATCAAAGCCAGCCCTGGACTCTGCTTCCTTCCAGTGTCACTCCCCAGGCCCTCCATCAGTGCCTGGCCCAGCTGGATGGTGCCTGTCAACAGTAATGTGACACTGCGCTGCTTGACTCCTATCAGGGAGGTCAAGATTCTTCTCAGAAAACTAGGACATAAGGAGTACTTGCCATCTTCTGATTCCCCAGAGGGCATGGCAGAATTTTACTTCCCTGATGTAAAAACCAGAAATGCTGGAAAGTACACCTGTGAATATTACAGAAGATTGAGCCCCAACATAAGTTCGCTGTCCAGTGATACCCTGCTACTAGTGGTCACAGGTGAGGATGGGGTGCTCAGAATAATACCCGTTCTTTGTGTCACAGGGATGAGGGGGAATCCAGAGAATGGGAGTAGGGCAGGGAGTCTCATCGCCAGTGTAGAAGGCAAGGGAGAGACAGGGAAAGACAGGAACAGAGGTGAGGACCGTGGCTTCATCCAGGGCTTGTAGGAGGGGAGCCTCCCTCCTGGGGTCAGAGCAGAAAGAGGATGAGATGAGGGGCCTGTCACTTCCCACGCTCACTACGAACCCCACAAGGACAACAATGCTGAGGGGGAACCAAGGCTTCTCCCATGACTTCTACGCCTTCTTTCTCTTACAGGGAATCTACCTAAACCTTCCCTCCAAGCCCACCATGGAGGCAACGTGACCGCAGGGGCAAACGTGACTCTGCAGTGCCAGAAGCCCGGCCATGTGACTGAGTTTAGCATGTTTGCTCTACTGAAGAAAGGATCTTCAATGCCCACACAGCTCCGGAGTCCAGTTGGGAGGGAGACAGACTTCTCCCTGCAACGTGTGACTGTCGGTGACACTGGGAACTACAGCTGTGTGTACTACCACACAAGGGCGCCTTTCTGGGCCTCAGAGCCCAGTGATCAGCTTGCGCTCTGGGTGACAGGTAAGGTTTCTGCAAGATTTTGAGGACCTTTTTAAAAATTTGGTAGTTACAAAATAGTCACAGATATGTAAAGCACAGCATAGGGAACACAATCAATAATACTGTAATAACTATGTATACCGACAGGTGGGTATTGGGAAACCAGGGGAAACACTTTATCTAACCACTATGCTGTACAGCTAAAACTAATACAAATATTGAATGTAAATTGTAAGAGAAAAATGAATTTAAAAACATAAATAGCTCATCTGATTCTTCTGATTCTCACTTCCTAATTTCCACCCCTTTGTCTTTGCTTTGTATTCTTGGATCATTTCTCTTGCTGTTCTTCAAAATTATCTATCCTGACATCGTCACAATTCCTTTCACCATTCTCTGCATCTCTTAGTTTTGGTGGGTCTTGATAGAAATTTCTTCCCAACACCTCTCATTTGTTCTGAGAATGTGGCATTCCCAGCCTCATGCAGGTGATGGGTGTTTTAGGGGGGTAGGTGCAATGTCTTTTTTTAATCTCACAGCACTTAAGGGTAGAATTCGTCCGATTATCTTGTTTCCTGCCACAACACACTGTGCTTCAGCTCCCTACATCCTGTTTTTGGCCACTCAGTTTTCCCATGTGGTCAGTGAGTATCTTATAATTAGAGCAAGGTCTGTATGGCCAGCCAAGAAGTAGAGAGAGCTCTCCAACTTCTGGGAAGAAGGATAATTACCCATTTGTCCCCATGGATTTGGCCTTCAGGGATCATTGCTGTTGATGGGTTTAGAGATGGGCCTTGCACAAATTGGGAATTGTTACCAAATATGGACCCATTGGGAGGGGGGAGCAGATGCTATTACCAAAACAACACCCTCCCTTCCCCAAGGTCCCTCTGTTCTAGGTTCTTTGCCCACTGCCCTTGGAAATTATGGCTCTCAATGGCAGTGTGGTGAAAAGGAAAGGAACTATTTATTCAAAAGTTATACAGGTTTTGAATAATGGCTAAATGTTGCCATTTAATCTCAAAATCCCTTAAAACACCCACCAACACACACAGTCCTGCCTTTCCCCGCTTTGTCCCGTCAGGCCAGTCAGGGGTACCGTCCTTCAGAAGAAAAAGAACACAAGTCTGGAGCTCGGCTAAGCAGGCCTCTCACGGTTCCCGGCACCTTAATCTAAAACCACGTGACACCTTCTCATGGTCCACTAGCAAGAGTCCTTTCTCCCCTTTCCTCCCTACATGGCTTCACATTGTCCCCAACCTCTGCGTCCAGTTCTCTCTCACTCAGGCCCTGTAACTCCTTCCCAGCTACATCCTGCGTTAAAGTAAAGCAAACCTTCCTTGTTAGTCTTGTTATGCAAAATAACCATCTTTGCATGTGACAGTTTGAAGCAATCCTGCTCTTATTGACATGCAAAATGACTCTCAATGGCCCTGCTCCATGTCAGGTATGAAGCTGGCCTGTTATTGATACTCAAAACTCTTAATGGCCCTGCTCCACACCCCCATCCCCTACAGCACCCAGATTTGTGGGGGGTGGGGATGGGAGAATATCCCAAATCTTTTCCTTGGACACCCCAACTTCTGGACCCTGATACAAACTCCTGCTTTGGGGAGGCCCTGGATGGACCCCATTACAGGATGACTGAGGTGGGGCAGCACATATGCAGGCTTCTCTTGAGGAACCAGGACCAATGGTGAGGCTGAGCCATTTGGGACTGAAGCCAAATACATAATGGTCAAGTTGATTAGCTACTAAACTCAAAATTACCTACGCTCGCTGCCAGCATAAAGTTTTGTGCTATGAGGACAGATTCCGAAGCAGCCGCTGAATTTCAGTGCTCTGTGAGGACTGCTGGCTCTTTGTGTTGTTCAGACACAAATCCTAACATATAAAAGAAAAAGGGAAAAGAAAATGCAAGAAGCTGGAACTGCAAGAGGAAATAAATGAAGAGGGGTAAGATAGAGAATATAAAGATGACGACCAAAGAACCACTACCACTTGCTTTAAATTTTTGTTTCCATATTTTGTTTCTGGTGATTAAAACTTTAATGAATGTATAGCTGACCACTGCTCAGGAAACACAGGTGGGCACGTGAAGGTCACCTTTGGTAGATTCCCTGAGACACAGGGATGTCAGTGGTGATCCTCTTCTTTATCTCAGGTTCCCCAGGCGCCACAGCAAGAGATATCACCGTGGGTGACCTCGTCCGACTGGGTCTGTCTGCCGTAATTCTGGTTCTGATGGGGGCTTTCCTGGTGGAAGCCTGGTGGAGTCAGAAGGGGCCTCCACGTTAATTCAGGTAAAACGCTGAGCACTCCTCTCTTTGATGGGCTGTTCTGGCCAACCTGCACCATTAGGATTTTTGCTTTGCGTTATGGGCATGGATGGAATTTTAGGCAGCATTTTTCTTCACCAGATGAAACTGTTTAGTTCACAGTAAGAGCATATAGTATCTCTTCTCTTTTCCTATTAAGCAGCCATTAGAGCCTCGATCATTGTGGAAGAAGAAAAGAAGCAGGTACTACCCACAATACCTCTTGAAACATCCCATTTCGGGGAGGATGGAAAGAAAGGTCGGATCTTCCTGTTTGAGAACTTGCATTTGGGGGCTGCAAGAAAGGTTATCTTCCTGTCCTGGCCAGTGTGGCTCAGTTGGTTGGAATGTCATCCTGTAACCAAAAGGTTGTGGGTTCTGTTCCTGATCAGGGCACGTACCTGGGTTGTGCTTTGATTCCCAGTGTAGGCGTGTACGAGAGGAAACCAGTTGATGTTTTTCTCTCACATCAGTGTTTTTTCTCTCCTTTCCTCTCCCTCTAAACACAATAAAAAAAATGTCCCTGGGTAAGGATAAAAAAAACAAACTCCCCTTCTGTTCCTCCCTTGATGTCAGGTCTGTCCTTCTCCACCTCAGGGCCCGCAGCTGCCTGGGTTGCAGGGCATGACGAGCGCCTGATCCGGCCAACCTGCCGAACCCTAACAGCTCTGTGGGACCTGCATTCTCGGCCCGTCCAGGACAAGGCAACGATTTTCCTCTTCCTGTGCTTTTCACCTGGAGCAGATGGCCAGACTGAGCAGAAAGAATCGCCTCACGCATTTTGGGTGACTCAGAAAAATACTTAAATCTTCAGGCTGGCTGCGTAGCACACACAGCCTCCCATGCAGGATCTTTTTCCTTTGAAAAGGGAAGGGAAGATGACTTCCCTATTACTTCCCCTCTGTTCTGTTTTGTGCTCTTGACCAGCAATTGTCCAAATGTTGAAATATTCTGTATTTATCAGATCTTTTAAATTTTATGTCACATATTCCCACCACTTTAATTTGAAGGAATTCCAATTTATATCATAGTATCAATTTGCTCTTGAGTTGTTGCCAGTATTCCTGGTGCAGGTGTGAAATGTCATCCATTGTATTTTCATTTTCTAGAAGATCTGTTGTTTCTTGTCCATACATTCTTTTTCATAAATGCTTATTCTTAGTTTAGATTCTATCCTCTCCTGTAACTCCTGATATATGCTTCTGAAAATTACATTCTGATCATAATAAAAACGATTCTCTGCGACGTAAGTCCTCTGTTTCATTTGCTCCTTTCACTGTGTTGAGCCCATCAGATCGTGGATGAGTCTTGTTCCCTATCACCATTACAGCTCCAACGCTCCTTTCACGGCTGCAGCATTGTGGGTATGATGCGGGAAGGGAGCCTATTTTGTACACCGCTCTTCTCGGGGTGCTGGGAGATGACTGGGGCTCTTTCTGGGCTGTTTACCTGTTGCTGAACTTCTCAGTGTAGGGGCTCAAAGTATCCCCAGGCTCCAAATTTTTGTCCCTCCCTCTCAATTACTAAAACTCATGGCTCCTGCTGTCAATACGCCCCTCTGGCTACTGTCTGGCAAAGTGCACTCAAAACAAACTGAAGTCTCTCTGACGATTAGTGACACTGAGCATTTCTGCATGTCTATTGGCCACTATATGCTTTCCTCAGAGAAATGTCTACTCGATTCCTTCCCCATTTTTAAAATTGGATTGTCTGTCTTCCTGGCTTTGAGTTGTAAAATTCTCTATACATTTTGGAAATTAACACCTTATCAGGTGCATCATTGGCTAGTATGTTCTCCCATACAGTGGGTTCCCTTTCCATTTTGTTGATGGTTTCTTTTGTGGTGCGGAAGCTTTTAAGTTTGAGGTAGTCCCATTTGTTTATTTTCCTTGTCCTGAGAGACACATTGTCAAAGATACTGCTGTGAGAGATGTCGGAGATTTTACTGCCTCTGTTTTCTTCTAGGATTTTTATGATTACATGACATATATTTAAGTCTTGTAACCATTTTGAGTTTATTCTTGTGTATGGTGTAAGCTGGTGGCCTAGTTTCAATTTTTTTTGCATGTACCTGTCAAATTTTCCCAACACCATTTACTGATGCAAATCAAAACCTCAATGAGATATCACCTCACAATCGCGAGACTGGCTACCATCAATAAACCAACAATCAACAAGTGTTGGCGAGGATGTGGACAAAAGGGAACCCTTGTGCACTGTTGGAGGGAACGCAGATTGGTGCAACCACTGTGGAAAACAGTATCGTGTTTCCTCAAAAAGTTAAAAATGATCGTATTTATTGCCTTTTGACCCAGTGATCCCACTTCTCTGAATTATCCCCAAACCCCGAAACACCAGTCAGAACGAACATATGCACCCTCATTTTCACAGTAGCATTATCTAGAATAGCCAAAATCTGCCAACCGCCTAAATGCCCCTCAGTGGGGTTAATGCCCACCACGGGATTAATCCACCCTCCTGAACTCATTTAAACCTAATTAGCTCCCAAAGGCCCCACCTCTCTCCACCATCACCTTGGGGGTTAGGGGCTTCCATATAGGAACTGGAGGCTGAAGACAGCCCTCTAGCCCATAACTGAAATCTTCTGGAGATCTTGTGTCCATTGCTCATTTTGCATAACTATGGAAAATTCAGGCCACTGTAAGGCTTCCTGAAAACCTTTCACATATCCACAGAGAGGCGTGGACTGCCACTAACCTCAGTCTCAGCAGGTGTCTCGAGATCTCCCTGCAGCCTGAGAACTCGAGTGTTTCTCACAGGGCTGGTATGAGCTTATCGCCCACTCACCCTATCGACCCTGGAGGGCTGTCATGAGACAGGGTCTCACTGCCTCTTGGGTTCTGATGAGGTGTGAGGCTTTCTGCCCAGTTCCCCTGTGACTGGAGGTGACAAATAAGTATATGCTTCACTACGGGCTAGATTTGGCTCTTGTGGTATCACAGACTTGGTTCCCAGCATGGATTTCCTGAGTGATGGGATGACAGAAGCATCTTTGTTCTAACGACCCCACCTTTGGTGGCCCCTAGGTAGTTTCAGGATGCGTAATGGTCGTCAGAAAAACCAAAGCTTGAATAGAAAATCAGAGCTTTCAGCAACTGCCCCCGACCGACCTCAGGAGAGGGGAGAGGAGAGAGAAGGGATCGAGACTGTTAATCCACAAGACCAGTCATTCAATCAACTGTGGCTCTAGAGTGGAACCGCCATTAGAACCTCGGTTGAAACCTCCATTCAGGAAACAGTACACTTCAACTGAGCCCTGGTCAGGTGGCTCAGCTGATTAGAGTATTGTCCCCATATGCTAAGGGTGTGGATTCAATTCCTGGACAGGGCACATACAAGAATCAACCAATGAATGCAAAAATGAGTGGAACAACAAACCAATGTCTGTCTCTCTCTCACAAATCAATACATTTTTAAAAACTCTACAGGAATGACAAAGATCTGAGTCAGAATATTAATTCAGAGATCTGATTAAAGTGCTGAGTTGAAAGCATTTCCAAAAATATTGGTCTTGTTTTCTGGTGGAACATAGACAATTAGGTGAATATTCATGACACTTACTAAGTTGTTTTCTATTGAAATAAATCTACACACAGAAGTGTTATTGAGACAGTAGGGTCTTGTAAGAGTCTCAAGACTTTAAAAATCACAACCACAGCCTTTGAAAGTAACCTTCAAAGAAACACCTTTAATTGTAATGGGTTTTCCTTAGGTAAGTGGTGGCTTTGTTGACTTTTCTGCATTTTTAAACAGTAAGACAAGCCAGCCCCATCCAAACAACAGGAGCACATGGCTCTTCTTCCAAATGAATGTTGGAAAAGTAATAAAAACCGATGGCTCAGCTGGGTTCTTATTTTAGCAGAGAGATTGAGAATTTTGTCATATTTCAATCTATCAAATGCAGTTCACAGACGTCCATTTTGAGGATGTGGATTCTGATTTTAAAAAAACTGATAGGCAGCTTCGAAGATTACTGTGGAAATTTGAATACTGCCTGAATAACACTATCAAGGAAGTGCTGCTTTTGTGTTGTGATACTGCTGTTGTATATTTTTCAAAAGTTATCATATGATAAAGGTAGCGATATAATGAAATACTTTGGGATTGAAAAGATGAGTTCACAAGTGGAAACAGTCAGTACACTTCAACTATTACTTCAATACTACTATTCTAACTACAGAATGTCAGGCATCAGCACAGTCCTGAAAGACTTCCTTCCCAACAAAGGTAAACCTAGGCTGGTGCAAGTCCACTTCTGAACCTGACACTGCAGAACTGGGCCCAGCCTGAGTTTCTCAGGCACTCTGGGGGTCTTCGCTTGGGTTCCCCTAGAATCAGACCCCAAGACAAGGATTCAAACTCAAGTTGTTTATTCAGGAAACACTTCACTGAGAATAGAAAAGTTCCAAAGCCAGATTCTGCTGTGGACCACTGGAGCTTCATACTGCTGGGGCTCATACTGCTAGTTCTAGCATTGCTGGAGCTTAATACTGTTAACTCCAAAACTGCTGGAGCTTAACAGTACTAGCATGAATACTGCTGGAGCTTAATACTAACACTTCTGGAGCTTAATACCGTACAGCATAGTACTGTCAGTAGTGAATACTCTCGGAGCTGAATAGTGCCAGTACAATGTTGCTGGAGCGCAGTATTGCTAGTACTAATACTGCTGAAGCCCAAGACTGCTAGTACTGAGGTAGATTAATAATGAAGATTTTAGTAATGCTAGTACTTAATACTTCTGGTACTAAAGACTGTGGTACTCAGTACTTATTAAGCTTTACAGGCTAGGAAGAAACACACACTTCACAGTTATCCCCCAAAGGTCAAGGGAGCTGAAGTATTTATGCATCAGCTCCTGGCAGATGCTGCCCAATGGCTGCTTCCAGGTCATGAAGTCCTCAGCGTTTCCCCCGATGGGCACAGCAGGGATTTTAGCCACCCCTCCGGTAGACACATATATCCAGAGGCACCAACATCAGACTCTACTCACGTGGACCTGCTCTGCCTTCCCTCCCCACAATCCTAGGGTTAGTGGCTGCAAGGGAAATTTTGTGTTAGCTCTTCAAGAGCGTGGCTGCCATCTCTAGCCATCTCTCCCTGGGGGCCAGAAGTCCTGCTGCTTCTCACAGCTGGATGTTATGTGGGCGCCTTGCCCAGTTCTGGTGCTCTAGGCTGGGGAGCCCGGCTTGGGATTTAGACCCCACGCTTCTCAGGGACAACACCCCCAGCCGCTGAACTCTCTCTCCGGAACTTCATCTGCTGCCCGCAGAGCCCAGCCAGGCCTCTCACGCCTCTGTACTTCCTCCCAGTCCTCATGTGGTTTCTTCCTAAGCCTTCGGTTATGAGGCTTCTCTTGAGCTAGCGCTCCGTTGGTTTTCAGGATGACTGCTGTCTGATTTGGTTGTAGCTCCAGCGGGGTCCTGGGCAGGATGTCAGTGTAGCTGCCACCTGGCCCACTGCCATCTTGGATCCCCGCCCCTACAACTTCTCAACTCGTCCTCATCAGCTCTGTACCCGCTCCCACCCTCCGATGCTCCCGAAGGCGTAACCCAGAATTTGTGCACATCACTGCCACTCACATCCTCTTGACCAGAGAGACCGACTCCGTCAGAGAGAACTGTAGTTGTGCCTCTGATTGTCCTGGGTCCAGCTGAATTCTGTCACCGTGTAGAAGGGGGCAATGGCTGTAAAATTTGATGAGCCATTTCTCACGTATTGTGCATATTTGTGAATATGTCTTCGCTTTGGGCGATATGAACTCTGGGCTCAGTCCAGTCCCGGGGAAGTGACTTGAGAGGAGTTGCAATCAACAGGCATCATTTCCTGATTGTGCCTGGGAGACAGAGCTGCGGGTGTGCCACAGTGGAGATAAAAACGGAACAAAGCCGTCACAGCATATCCTGGAGTCAAGAGAGCATTTTGACGTACCACAAACAGCAAAGTTCAAGGAAGATCCAGGAGAGAGGCTTAGGGGGCCGTGATGATCCTTCCGTCCCTGGCCCTGCTCTGTGTTGGTAAGTACGGGGTAGGGGAGGGGGCCGCGGAGGGTGGTGGACAGGCAGGCCATGCAGGCAGCTGGAGTTGCTATGACTTGGGTAGATAGATAATGGCATGGGAGGAAGAAGCTAAAAACAGAAACTTTTATTTCTCTTTTAATTTTAAAAAGATATTTATTCTTTAGAGAGAAGGGAAGAGATGGAGAAGAGGGAGAGAAACGTCAATGTGGGAGACAGACATAGATCAGTCGTTTCTCACATGCCCCTAACTGAGGACCAGGCCCGCAACCCAGGCATGTGTCCTGACGAGAATGAAACCGGTGACTTTTTTTGATTCACAGGCTGGCGCTCAGCCCACTGAACCACACACCAGTCATACACTAAATTCAGTTATTCCTGAACTTCCCAAGGGCATTTTGCCAGATGTATGTGATGTCTGTGTTCTTTCATAAGTGATATTCTTCACATTGCTTTGGGTTTTTATATCATTATTTTTTATGCTCAACGCTATTTTAAAAGATCTGTAGACACTTGTATTCATGGAAAATCAGTATCATTCATCCAACTACAACATAGTCGTCACTATAGTGCAAGCCGGGGAGGTCATACGATTAAGTTCCGGGAGCTACTGCTGCCTGACTGCAGGCACTGGGCCGCATTCCCGCCCCGGCCCTGCTCTTCTCCCTCAGAGACGGGCGTGGGTGCGAGGGGCTGGAGCCCTGGCTGGGCGGCTCTGCTGGGTACAGCATCATCCGGATACACCAGGGTTGTGGGTTTGGTCTCCAATCAGGGCACATACAAGGATCAACCAGTGAATGCATCAACAGGCGGAACAAAAAAACGGTCTGTCGTCTGTCTCTTCTTTCTCTCTCTCATGTCCCCTCCTTCTCAAAAATCAACACACAAAGAGAAAAGGGTTGGCAACTAGCACCCAGCTCTAGTATTCGGTTGTGACACAGACACAGAATGAGAAGAGAATGACTTTCTCACGAAGTCAACATTACTTAGTCACTATTACTTAATCTTGTGTCTTTGGGTGACTTCAAGTTATGTCACATCCCCAGATGGCCTGTGAGGAACTTGAGTTGGACAGCTGATGTGACACAGAAAGCCACCGGGCTCCTGAGTGAAGCTGAATTCAAATTCTGGTCTGCACACTTCCACTGGCCCTAATTTTCCAGAGGCATCCTGGGAAATTTAAGAGGTCCGAATCTGGGGGAACTTGGAGAGGAAATGATTGGAGGGTGAATGAAGGGAGTCACAGCTGGGAAAACCTTGAGAAGGGAGATAAACAGTGAATCCCATGATCTCAGCCTGTGTTGACCACTTGTTATGTAGAGGGTCCCCCATTGGAGAACTGGCCCAAAACCCAGGGATGTGCCCTGAATGGGAATCAAACCAGCAACCCTTTGGTTCAAAGTCCAGTGCTCAATCCACTGAGCTGCGTCAGCCGGGGATCAATAAACATCTTTTTAAAAATGAAAAAAAAATGATGGGAGAAGAGGCCACAGGCCAAGGAATGCAAGCACTTCTACAAGCTGGGAAAGGCAGGGGAGAGATGCTCCCTAAAGCCTCCAGAAGAAACGCAGTCTTGCCGACACCTAGATTTTAGCCAGTGAGATGTGCGATGATGGATGTCTCTCATGAACCAAATATACATTTGGGTCGTTATGGGCCAGAAACTGTGTGGTAATTTTTACCCCAGCTCTAGGAAAGTAGTGTAAACTGCAAATTGACGCTGATGCCACTGGGTTCTTGGGGGAGGGGCTGGCACTGCTCGGGAGTATCATAAAGAGGGGCTCATTCTCAGCGAAAGCCCTGGATGGTCGCCCAGGGACCAGGGCAGGGTGACGGCCTGGGCTCCAGGCAGGTGCCTGGATCTCATGGTCAATTCCTTTGCAGGGCTGTGTGTTGGCCAAAGAGAGTGGACAATAGATGGTGAGTGTTTCTACACTGAAACCTTCCACCCCCTTCACTCCAACTTCCCTTAGCCCTTCTCTTTCTGTAAAAGCACAGGTCAGTGTATCGAATCCAGCCCTGCTCTCTGCTTCCTTCCAGAGTCACTCCCCAGGCCCTCCATCAGTGCCAGGCCCAGCTCGGTGGTTCCTGCTCAGAATAACGTGACACTGCGATGCTCAGCTCCTGCCAGGGGGGTCCGGTTTGTTTTCTTGAAGGGAAAGTATTCGGGGGACACCTTGGGATTTGCTAATTCCCCAAAGGTCCAGGAGGAACTTCGTCTCACTGATGTATCACCCAGTGCTGCTGGGGAGTACACCTGTCAGTATTACAGAAGAGCGAGCCCCAGCAGAAGGTCACCACCCAGTGATGTCCTTCTGCTACTGGTGACAGGTGAGGATGGGGTGCTCAAAATGACACATGCTCTTCCTAGGACAGGGGTGACAGAGCACCCAGAGGAAGAGAGTGGGGCAGGGGTTCTCATCGCCAGTGTAGACGGGGAGCGGGAGACGGAGAAAGACAGGAACAGAGGCTGTGAGGACCATGGCTTCATCCAGGGCTTGTAGGAGGGGAGCCTCCTTCCGGGGGTCAGTGCAGAAAGAGGATGAGATGAGGTGCCCATCGCTTCCCACGCTCCCTACGAACCCCGCAAGGACACAACACTGACGGGGGACCCAAGGCTTCTCCCATGACTTCTACGCCTTCTTTCTCTTACAGGACGTTCACCTAAACCTTCCCTCCAAGCCCACCACGGGGGCAACGTGACTGCAGGGGCAAACGTGAGTCTTCAGTGCCAGCAGCCCAGCCATGCGACTGACTTTAACATGTTTGCTCTACTGAAGAAAGGCACTCCTATGCCCACACAGCTCCGGAGTCAAGAAGGGGGGGAGACAGACTTCACCCTTCAAAGTGTGACTGTCGGTGACACTGGGAACTACAGCTGTGTGTACTACCAAGCAAAGGCTCCTTTCTGGGCCTCAGAGCCCAGTGATCAGCTTGAGATCTGGGTGACAGGTAAGGTTTCTGCAAGATCTTGAAGGCCTTTTTAAAAATTTAAGACTGGGCCTGGCTGGTGTGGCTCAGTGGATTTAGGGCCAGCCTGTGGACCAAAAGGTTGCCAGTTCAATTCCCAGTCAGGGCACATGCCTGGGTTATGAGCCAGGTCCCCAGTTGGGGGTGTGAGAGAGGCAAATGCAGTTTCTCTTGCAAGTTTCATGTTTCTCTCCCTCTTTCTCCTTCTTCTCCCATCTTCCTAAAAATAAAATCTTTTTAGCTCTGGCTGGTGTTGCTCAGTGGATTGAGCGCCGGCCTGCAATCCAAAGGGTCGCTCGTTCGATTTCCAGTGTAGGGCACATGCCTGGGTTGCAGGCCACGTCCCCAGCAGGGGGATCGGGAAATGCAACCACACACTGATGTTTCTCTCCCTCTCTTTCTCCCTCCCTTCCCCTCTCTAAAAATAAATATTTAAAAAAAAATAAAAAATAAAATCTTTTGAAAATTAAGATTGGTGGTTACAAAACAGTGATGGGGATGTACAGTATAATGAATATAACTAAAGTACTATAATAACTATGCACGGTGCCAGGTGCATGATGGAAAGACCAGGGGATACACTTTGTCTAAGCACTACGCTCTACACCTACAACTAATACAAAGTAGTACTGAATGTAAAGTGTAAGAGAAAAATGAATTTAAAAACATAAATAGCTCATCTGATTCTCACTTCTTAATATCCGTGTATTCTTAGAAAATTTCTCTTCCTCTTCATCAAAAGTATCTATCCTGCCCTCATCACAATTCCTTCCACCACTGTCTGTATCTCTTAGTTTTGGTGGGTCTTGATAGCAATTTCTTCCCAACACCTCTCTTTTGCTCTCTGAATGTGGCATTTCACAGCCTCCTGCTTTAGGGGATGGGTGCAGTATCTTTTTCTAACCTCCCAGCACTTAGAGGTCGAATTTATCTGAGATTATCTTGTTTCCTGCCACGACACACTGTGCTTCAGCTCTCTACATCCTGTTTTTGGTCGCTGAGTCTTTCCATGTGGTCAGTGAGTGTCTTATAATTAGAGCAAGGTCTGTATGGCCAACCCTGACAGGTGGAGAAGGCTCCCTCACCACTGGAAAAAGGGCCATTACCCATTTGTCCCCATGGATTCAGCCTCCAGGGATCATTGTTGTTGATCGGTTTAGAGATGAACTTTAGCATGATTTGGGATGACTGAGATGGGGTGATACATTTAAACGCAGGCTTTTCTTCAGGAACCAGGGCCAATTAACAAGGCTGAGCCATTCATTTTTGAAGCTACATATATAATGATCAAGATGATTAGGCACTAAGCTCAAATTTTCCTATACTTGTTCCTCAAGTAAAGTTTTGTGCCAATACAACAAATTCTGATGTAGCTGCTGGATTTCAGTGCTCTGTGGAGCACCACTGGCTCTTCGTGTTGTTTAGACACAAGTTTTAATGTATAAAGGGACAAAGGAAAAGGAAATGCAAGAGGCTGAAACAGAGAAAAAGCAAATAAATCAAGGGAGGTAAGAGAATATAAAGAAAATGATGAAAGAACCACCACAAACTCTCATAAGACTCCACACTGTTTCCAGTGACTAAAACTTTAGTGGAATTGCAGGTGACCACTGCCCAGGAAACACATGTGGGCACGTGAGAGCCACCTTTGGTAGATTCTTCGAGAAGCAGGGATGTCAGGGGTGACCCTTGTCTCTATCTTAGAGTCCTCAGGCACCATAGAAAGAGGTATCACCGTGGGTAACCTCATCCGACTGGGTCTGTCTGCTATAATGCTGGTTCTTATGGGAGCTTTCCTGGTGGAAGCCTGGTGTAGTCAGAAGAGGTTGCCACGTGAATTCAGGTAAAACACTAAGCACCTCTTTCCATTATGGGCAATTGTAATTACGCAGGGTTTTAAAACACCAACCTGTGCTATAGGGAGTTAAGTTTTGCAATATGGGCACAAATGGAATTTTATGTGGGATTTTTCTTCACTAGGTGTGACTATTCTGTTAACACATTGTACGAACATCGAGCATCTTTTTCTTTCCTATTAAAAAGCAGTGAAACCCCAGTCATTGTGGAAGAAGTAGGTACTATCCATAATACCTTTTCAAACATCCCTACATGGGGAGGATAGGAAGAAGGGGTGGTTCTTTCGGGTCAAGTATCTGTATGTGAAGACTGTGGGAAAGAATATTCTTTGCCTCCCCACCTTGATCTCAGGCCTGTCCTCTACCCACAGGTCCCAGAGCTGCTGAAAAACAACAGGGGCTTGATCCAGCCAGATGTGCTGAATTATGAGCTCTGTGAATCCTGCATTCTGAGCCAGTTCAGGACAAGATGATTACTTTCTTCGCGTGCTGTTCACCTGGGGCAGATGGCAGGGCTGAGCAGACTCACAACACATTCTGGATGACTTGAAAAATACAAAGTGGGGAAGGACTGAGGGTGGGAGGTGGGGGTGGGTGGATTAGAGGCAAGTGGTGGTGGGAAAATAGAGACAACTATACTTGAATAAAAAAAATTAAAAATAAATTTTTTAAAAATCTAAAAGTTCACCAAAATTTATGAAGTAGATCATAAAGGTTCAGAAACATGATAGCCGAAAAGTCAACAAAACTAAATAATTTTTAGCTATATTCTAGTTAATATTTTAAAAACAGAAACATCAATAAAACAATTTCTACTGAAAAAATTAATGGTATTATATTACTATAAAAAATACTTAAAACTTCAGTGTCCAGCTGGGTAGCATGTATAGTGTCACGTGCAGAGGCTGTGCAACCTCGGAAAGTGGCGAGAAGATAGGTTCCTGTATAATAATTTTGATTTCCCCTCCACTCTATTTTTGTGCTCTCAACGAGCAATTGGTGAAATGTAAAAAGTTCTCTATCACATGTATTTAAAATTTTACTTCATACTTTCCCACCATTCTACCTAATTTGGGAGAATTCCAGTCTATGTCATAGTATCAATTTGCTCTCAAGTTGTCCCCAGTATTCCTGGTGGAGGTATAAAAGGTTATCTTGAAGACCTATTGTTGTTTCTTGGTCATACTAATTCTTAATTAGTGTGAAGAATACTAATTTTTTATTTTATTTTTAATATATAGTTTATTGATTATGCTATTGCAGTTGTCCCATTTTTTTCCTTCCCTTTATTCCCCTCCACCCTGCACCACCCCTCCCCCTTCATTCACGTCCATGGGTCATACATGTAAGTTCTTTGGCTTCTCCATTTCCTATACTATTCTTAACCTCCCCCTGCCTATTCTGTACCTACTATTTATGCTGCTTATTCCCTGTACCTTTTCCCCCATTCTTCCCCCTCCACTCTGTTTTACTGTTCATAGTTTTTGACCTTTTCTTAGGTAAGTCCCTTTAACATCTCATATAATAAGGGCTTGGTGATGATGAACTCCTTTAACTTGACCTTATCTGGAAGCACGTTATCTACCCTTCCATGCTGAATGATAGCTTTGCTGGATAGAGTCATCTTGCATGCAGGTACTTGCCTTTCATGATTTTGAATGCTTCTTTCCAGCTCCTTCTTGCCTGTCAGGTTTCTTTTAAGAAATCAGCTCATGGTCTTATAGGAACTCCTTTGTAGGTAACTGTCTCCTTCTCTCTTGCTGCTTTTAAGATTCTCTCATCTGCCGCGACCAGCATGGAGTAGAGGTCCCTAAGGGGGGACGACAGAAGATTGAGAAAGACACAACACAACACAGTTTAAGGGAAAGCAGGGGCCAGGTGGAGCATTGTCCTCGGGTGGAGAGACAATGACCCTGAACCTGGTTACCGCGTTTATTTTAGAGGGCTGGTTACACATAAAGCTCAAGGAAGTTTTGCAGACTCAAGGACGCGCTGCAGGCAAAGATTGTTCCGTTCCCAGGCTATGTAAACGATAAAATATTTCTTCTGCAAAAGTTACAGTCACGTTCAGCTGAAGCGTGCAGTTATCTATCTCCTTCTCAACCCCCACGGGTCCTGGCGGCCGTCAGCTGCTGGCCTGCTCTGCTTTGCAGATGCGAGCGGTCAACAGGGCCTTGCCAGCACTTAACCTGAGCTTTGACGTCAGCCCTCACTGTCCTCCATGCTTATCTTTAATTTTGGGTAATTATGATGGGCCTCGGTGTGTGCTTCCTTGGGTCCAACTTCTTTGGGACTTTGAGCTTCCTGGAAGTCTTATTTCCTTCGCCAATCAAGGAAATTTTCCTTCATTATTTTTTCAAGTAAGCTTTCAATTTCCTGCTCTTCCTCTTCTCTTTTTGGCACCCCTATGATTAGGATGTTGGAACATTTAAAAGTTGTGCCAGAGGTTCCTAAGCCTCTCATTCTTTTCAATTCTTGTTTCTTCATTCTATTCTGGTTCAATGTTTTATCTCTTCCTTCTGCTCCAAATTGTTGATCTGAGTTCTGGTTTCCTTCCCTTCACTGTTGGTTCCCCATATATTTTTATTTCACTTTGCATAGCCTTCACTTTTCCCCCTACTTTGCAACCATGCTCAACCAGTTCTGTGGGCATCCTGACTACCAATGTTTTTTGAGCTCTGCATCAGATAGGTTGGCTACCTCCTTGTAATTTAGTTCTACTTTTGGAGTTTTGATCTGTCCTTTCAGAGACATATTTCTTTGTCTCAGTGCACTGGTTACATTTTAAGGGGAGACTTCACTATTTGCCAGGGCAGGGCAGCCATTGTTGTGGTGCTATATGTGGGAGGGGGTCAAAAAGGGAACAGTGCTGCTTGCTCAGCTCTCACCCTGCTTTCAGTCACTTCCCCCGCTACCCACAAGTGAATTGGGCCCTTCTAGTGCTGATTCCCAGGTGGGTGGGTTTGTGTATGTTCTAGGACCCTGAGGTCCCTCCAACAGACCTCCTGTGAGACTGGCAATTTCTCCCACTGCCACAAACCCCACAGATTTTTACAGCCATAGGTTTTGAGGCTTTATTTCCCTGGGCTGGATACCTGGGGTTGTGTGGTCTGTCTTGCTCCCCAGTTGTTCCTCCTAGTTTACCAACACACAAATGTGAGACCACCCAGTCCACCAGCAACCACCTTGCCACATGTCCTTTCCACCCTGCCTGCCCATCTCCACCCCTCCTACCAGCCCGGATGAATGTTTCTTCTTTAGCTCCTTAGTTGTCGGACTTGCATACAGTTTGATTTTCTGGAAGTTCTGGTTGTTTTTTGTTTTTAAATTGTTCCAATTTTGGTTGTGTGACAAAGCAAAGCATATCTACCTATGCCTCCATCTTGACCAGAAGTCTGTATGCCATTTTATCATGTTTAGGTTCATGTGGCTACCAACACAGTCCACATACTTTTATCAGCAAGGAAAGACTGTCACCACCCCTTAAGTCCATGATGCTCCTTTATTATTTAGGAAGAATGGATGGGGTTCCCCTTGTTAACTTGCATCCATAAGATTGTGGGACATGTTTCTGCAAATACTGCCAGAGAGAAGCCTCTCTCTGATGTTCACCAGCCAGTGAAATCCTTCTTGTGATCATAGGTAAGAAGAAAGTATTGAATACAGAGTCTTTTCTGACCCATCTATCTCTCCCATATAAGAGGATGAGTGAGAGGACATTACATGGTCTCTTCTCCAATAAGTGGCTTAAGGAATGCACAAAAAGTCTCAGAACATTGGTTTTGTCATAGCTTAATGAAAGAGAAATCCTGATTCTTTTATGAGACTGCCCAGAGTTGGGCAAAGATGGGCCTGTGTCTTTGGTTCACACATTCTAGAAAACACTCTTGAGGAGACCAGGAAAGAGAAAACTGAGCGTCTCCTCATTACTTCGACCCTCTTTGTCTTTAGGTAAATTAGGATATTTACCTAAACCTACCTTCCTGGCTCAGATGAGGCCTGAGGTGGCATCAGGAGAAAACATGACTCTGCAGTGCCAGAAGAAAGACCATGTGATTGCATTTATATCTGCTCTGATGAGGGATGGGATTCCAGAGCATATAGACATCCAGAGACTATCAGGGAACATGGCTCAAATGTGAGCACCCAGGACGGTGGCAACTACAGATGTGTGTCCTACCAAAATGAAAATCTTTTCTGGGCCTCGAACCTCAGTGATAGCTTAGCACTATATGTGAAAGGTAAGATCTAAATAGTTTTATAATTTGAAAAATTTCTAATTCTTCCTTCCTATTCTTTGTGTCACTGCTGTCCATTTCATTTACAAAGAAGCAGACATAAGCACACATAACTGAATGCACTGTTGCTATTATTTCCAAGTGTTATTTTAGCACTTAAGAATAAAAAAGAAAGAATAAAAGTTTTTATTTTGTCTTTACTTATTGCTTCTCCAATTCTCTTCCTGTCTCTACATAGATCTGAATGTGCTCTGTGACCTCATTTCTCTCGTTGAGTCTAAGCACAGCTGCTATTCTATCACTTCTTTCAGATTTTGACTCATTGTTAGGATGGACTGGCAACTTTTAATCTTACATGCTCAACCAGTCACTGGAAGTAAACATTTTATAATATTGATCTGGGAAAACCACCATGAGTTTCAGAGACTGAGTATTATACAAATATCATGGATTCACTCATGTTCAGACAGCAGGGACTTGGTCTTCTGCAGGGACCAGGACTTGGTTTGTACAGGAACAAGGGACCCAGTGTCAGAGATACGAAAATCATTCTTGTACAAAGATCAACGACTTGGTTTTATACAGAGACCAGAGACTGTCTAAAAAGAGATCAGAGACTTGGGCTGCACAGAGATCAGGGACTTGCTCTTGCAGAGAGATCGGAAACTTGGTCCTACACAAGAAACAAAGACATGGTCTGTTTATACAGAGATCATGAACTTGGTCTGTACAAGGATCAGGCAGTGTTCTGTAGAGTGATAAACTCAGTATTACACAAGGAAAAAGAACTTGCTCTGGTACAGAGATCAGGGAATTGGTCTGTACAAGGATAAGCAACTTGGCCTGTATATTGACCAGAAAGTTGGTCTTGTACAAATATCAGAAACTTAATCTGTGCAGAGACCCAACATTGGTCATCAGGACCTCAGTATGCACAAAGATTGGGGACTTGGTCTTATACAGAGATTGGGGATTTGGTTTCATACAAGAATCAGGGAACTGGTCTGTACTGAGATCAGGGGCATGTTGCTGAACAAAGATAAGGGGCTTGGAATATAGAGGGATCAGGCACTCCCTGTATAAGATTAAGAAGTCACTCTTATACATATATCAGGGACTTGTCTGTACCCAGGTTAGCAACTCAAATCTATATAGTTCAGGAACTCGGTCTGTACAGAAATAAAAAACTCAGTTATACGGAGATTAGGAACTCAATCTCGTACAAAGATTAAGCACATGATAAGCAGAAGGATCAGGGACTTGGTCTGTAACACAGGAGAAGGACCCAGTGTATACAGAAGTTCAGGAATATAATCTCTACAGAGATGGGAGACTTGATCTTGTACAGGATCAGGTACTCATTCTTGTGCAAAGATTTAGGAACACTACAGAGGAATCAAGGGATCATTGTGTACAGAGATCAGGGATGTGGTCTACACAAAGATCAGGGGCTCATTCTGTAAAGAGAGGAGGGACTTCTCTTGTACAGGGGACATGGGACATGGTCTGGGCATATCAAGAACTTTGTCTGTACAGAGACCAGGGACTCAGTCTGTACAGGAATCAGGGAATAGTGTGTACAGAGGTGAGGGACTTAGGGTTACACAGATAATAAGGACTCACTCTGCTACAGGAATCAGGAACTTGGTCTGTACAGGGACCAGGGACATGGTCTCATACAGAGATCAGCAGCTTGGTCTGTACAGAGATCAGGAAACTGGCATTTGCAAAGATTAGAAACTCAGTCTGCACAAAGATTAGGAAACCGGTCTGTACAGGCAAGAGAGACTGAGTTTGTACAGACATCAGGGAGATGGTCTTATACAGAGACCAGGGACTTGGTCTGTATAGAATCAGGGATTAGGCCTTGTACAGAGATCAGGTGTTTTGTCTGAACAGGGATCAATACTAGGCCTGTACAGAAATCAGGGACATGCTGTTGAACAAAAACAAGGGACTTGGGCTGTAGGGAATCGAAGACTCTCTCCTGCACATAGATTAGGGACATGTTCTATAGAGGGATCGAGATATCAATCTGTACACCGATCAGGGACTTGGTCCTATACAGGGATTGTGGTATGGTCTGTGCAAGGCCAGGAATTTGCTCTTACACAGAGACAGGGATTTGGTCTTATATTGAGTTTAGGGACTTTGTACAGAGATCAGGAACTTTGTTTGTTCACAAACCAGGGACTATACCTATACAGCAATCAGTGACTTGGTCTGTACAGGGATCGGCAACCTGGTCTGTACAGAGGAAAGGGAACTGGCTTGCCCAGGGATCAGTAACTACACCTGTATAGAAATCAGAGACTCAGTCTGCACAAGGATGAGCACTCTGTACAGGGGTTAGGAACTTGATGTGTATAAGGACCAGAGGGGAGAAATCAGGGACTTGATCTCACAGAGATCAGGGTTTGTACACACAGCAGGGAATAGGTTTGTGTAGAGAGTAGAGACTCCCTCTTATAGAGAGATCAGGGACTCTAGTACAGGTTTTCTACCAATGAATTCTCTTGATTTTTGTTTTCCTGGGAAGAGCCTGTATTTTGCCTTCATTTTTGAAAGGCATATCATGAAAACATTAATTTTAAAAAGGGTAAGTGGCTATGTTGATATCAGGTAAAGGAGACGTCAGAGCAAAGAAAATAACCAGGGACAAAAAGGAACATTACATAATGATAAAGATATGGATACACCAATGAACAGATTTTTTAAAACTTAAAAGAGGAAACAAACAAATCCACACACTTCTCCTAGTTAACTGAGAGAACTACAGTAAAATGACATTTAATAAAACCAATTTTATCATTAATTGATATAAACAACAGCTAAAATCTTATAGCATCTCATCAATGTTAAAATGACGCTGAACAAAATGATGTTATTCAAGGACTAGACATACTCAGCAGAAAAATGAACAAAAATATAAAAGAACAAACACAATGAACGAACAGGCTGTAAATGACATCTGTAAAACACTCCAATATGACAGTAGAATACACATTCTTTTCAAGTGTCCATGAAGTCTTTACCAAGGTATACCACATCCTGGGTCATAAAACAAACCTCTGATGGGAGGCCGCACGTTGGGTGCCAGATGATGGGGGTATCCCGTTCCCACAGAGTCCCTCCGGGTCACTGTGGACGGTGAAAATAAGTCGTTCCAGACACTTTTTGGTCTGCCAGGAAAACTGGGTGGCGAGTCCCTCTAGTGGAGAATGCCCTGAGCTCTTCTTTTGAAGTGGCTTTTACTGAGAAGATATGTGCAGGGGTATAGAGCATGCATGCAAAGCTCATCAATCAATGTCAAAAGGCTATGTTTACAGAAAACAAATAGAGATCACAGGTAACAACTGAAGGAACACAGGGATTTGCCTCAAGGCAGGGTCTGGTAGACAGGGTGGCACCCATTTGGCCCTGAAACCTGGGAAACTGATCACATTCTATGCTGGACCCCAAACATCAGTACTCATTAACTGGAGGAGGGCATTCTTAGCAGAGTTTCATAGGATTTAATGCATTCCTTTTCCAGGCCTAATTGTCCCCAGGAACCGCCTGATCCCGTTTAGAGCTGTACCTGCCTTTAGTTTCGAGCCTGAGCCAGGAGGGTGGAGCAGAGCAGCCAAGAGATAAGGAGACTCCTTTCAGAATGAATGAGGACTCTGGCCCTGACAAAGCCAAGGGTGAGGGTCTTTTGCTCCTTCTCCATGTCCCCCAAGTCTTTCCCTGATGGCCCCTATGTGACTGTGCCTGTCTTAGGTTGCCCTGCCATCAAGGGGTCTTACCTGTCATTGACTAACCACCATCCTCTGGGGCCAAGCAGGGTGATGTGACTGCCAGGGGGACAGGTTTTGTCTCCTCAGCGGCCTATTTTCCCAAGACCTCCTCACTCAGCTCCAGCCTTGGGGCCCTCTCGCCTGTCAGCAAGGCTACAGTCCCTGAAACCTCAACAAATTTATCTTTATATTTAGAGAAAAGGGAAGGCGAGGAGTAAGACAGGACGAAAAACATCGATGTGAGAGAGAAACATCGATTGGCTGCCTTCTGCACATGCCCCAGGGGACCGAACCTGTAACCCAGGCAGGTGCCCTGACCAGGAGTCACAACGGAGACCTTTTGGGTCATGGGACGATGCTCAACCAAGTGAGCTGCACCGGCGGAGCCAAACCTCAACAAATTTATATGTGGTTTTTTTTTTTATAATGTTGGCTGTAGGTTTTTCATATATGGCCTCAACAAACGTAAAAGAACTAACACTGAGAGTGTTCTTCAACCATGTGGAATCACAATAGAAATTAGTAACAGAAAGGTAACAGGAACATCTCCAAACACTTGCAAATTAAACAATATACACCTATATAATCCACGGATCAAGAGAGAAAGTCTTAAAAATCTTTAAAATGCAGTGAACAGAGTTATAAAAAAAATACATAAAAATTGGGAAATACGAATGAATAAATCAGTGAACATTTATTGCTCACATTAGGAAGAAGAAAAGTTTTTTTCTTAAGCTTACACCTTAAGGAAAAAATAATGAATATAACATCAAAAACTAATGAAGCTGAAACAGAAAAATACAGCAAAATCAAGAAAACAAAAACCTAATCATTTTAAAAGTTCAAAAATATTGATAGACCTCTAACAAGATGGTCAAAGATAAACCTAAGACACAAATTACCAACATTAGGCATAAAACAGGGTATTTCCACAGATCCTGCAGCCATTCAGTGGGTAACAAGGGACTCCTACAAACAGCTCTAGACATAAGTTCAACAAGTTAGATGAAATGCACTAGTTCCTTGAAACCCACAAGCAACCAAGATTACTCAGTATGTAATAACCTGACTCGTTATACAGCGAATTTTTGAAAATTGAATTCGGAATTTAAAAGATTCTGAAAA